ATAGGAAGATAATTAATCTAATTGCTTTTTACCGTTGCCTCTCATGCACCGGTGAACACATGCGCGCGCGTGCACACGCGTGCATGTACACGCGCGCGCTCGTACGTGGGGAGCGGTGGCGCAGCGGTTAGCACACAGCAAACCCGAGGATAAGAGTCTCGCGCGCGACCTCTAGGTTGACTGAGCCTTAAAACGATTATCCGGTGTAATGGATTGAACACTTACACTGGGGAGACAAAGGCGGCCGGGCGTGTCGTCGGCCACTGGACCCCCCTCGCGTGCCGTGTCGGCCTTCATCGGTAGTAGATGATGGCACTTGCCCCCACAAACAGTCTCTTAAAGGCTGTACCGGGAGGGGGGGGGGGGTAATCATTATATTTGTGTACGCGAAGCAGCTTATGAATGTGTGGGAGGTTGTTATATTTGTACTATTTAAGATGTTAATGTAAATCGAGGTGTGTGTGTGTGTGTCTCATACGTGCTTGTATATACAGTATATAATAATGCTAATAATCCGTACAGTGAAATGCGGTGTTGCGTGTGTGTGTGGGGAGCGGTGGGACAGCGGTTAGCGCAATACGAACCCGGCTTCATTGCCCCGCCTCGCGAGTAATGAAAGATGACGGCGAATATTTGAACCGTTCTTGGGGCTTCGACAGTCCTGGTGTTTAAATATCAGCACTGGGAAGACAAAGGCGGCCGGGCACGGTGGTTGGCGACCCACCGCTTCGTGTGCCGTGCCGGCCTTAATAGGCGCTCGCTAACACCACTTGCCCCAGCGGTTGGTTAAGGCTATGCGGAGGAATCTGAGTTTATCATATTTAGATTACATTTAGGTGTGTGGTGCGTGGTGCGATATGAGATGTATAGAACGCTGTGTGTTTGCACGCATGCATATATGTATTTGTGTCTTTTAGGACTTGTAATTCACAATCCGGTTTGTGTAATATGTGCGGTTTATGTTGTGTGTGTGTGTGTATTTAAAAATATAGCGCAAATATCTGGTGTGTGTGTGAATACGTATATATAGAAGAGCGGTTACATTTGTTTTTTCAATCCCCGTTCACCAGTTTTGATAACCGGTTTTTATAAACCGGTTACCGCTCGTATACCACGCACCTTGTCGACTGAGACGCGATGGGAGCTGCCACCCGAGGGTGAGCGTGTCGGTGATGAGTTCTCGGATTCGCTTCCCATCTCCCGCCGCGGCAGTGAAACCCGGCGGTCGAGACCGTGTGGGTTCACCCACACAGCTGATGGATCGTGTGGTGGGGTAAATCGTGGGTACATTCCACCTAACTTTTAACAACCATTTGGTGGGGTGTGTGTGTGCAACGTTCACGTGTGTGTGTGTGCAACGTTCACGTGTGTGTGTGTGCAACGTTCACGTGTGTGTGTGTGTGTGTGCAACGTTCACGTGTGTGTGTGTGTGTGCAACGTTCACGTGTGTGTGTGTGTGTGCAACGTTCACGTGTGTGTGTGTGTGTGTGCAACGTTCACGTGTGTGTGTGTGCGCAACGTTCACGTGTGTGTGTGTGCGCAACGTTCACGTGTGTGTGTGCGCGCAACGTTCACGTGTGTGTGTGCGCGCAACGTTCACGTGTGTGTGTGCGCGCAACGTTCACGTGTGTGTGTGCGCGCAACGTTCACGTGTGTGTGTGTGCGCAACGTTCACGTGTGTGTGTGTGCGCAACGTTCACGTGTGTGTGTGCGCGCAACGTTCACGTGTGTGTGTGCGCGCAACGTTCACGTGTGTGTGTGCGCGCAACGTTCACGTGTGTGTGTGCGCGCAACGTTCACGTGTGTGTGTGCGCGCAACGTTCACGTGTGTGTGTGCGCGCAACGTTCACGTGTGTGTGTGCGCGCAACGTTCACGTGTGTGTGTGCGCGCAACGTTCACGTGTGTGTGTGCGCGCAACGTTCACGTGTGTGTGTGCGCGCAACGTTCACGTGTGTGTGTGCGCGCAACGTTCACGTGTGTGTGTGCGCGCAACGTTCACGTGTGTGTGTGCGCGCAACGTTCACGTGTGTGTGTGCGCGCAACGTTCACGTGTGTGTGTGCGCGCAACGTTCACGTGTGTGTGTGCGCGCAACGTTCACGTGTGTGTGTGCGCGCAACGTTCACGTGTGTGGTGTGCGCGCAACGTTCACGTGTGTGTGTGCGCGCAACGTTCACGTGTGTGTGTGCGCGCAACGTTCACGTGTGTGTGTGCGCGCAACGTTCACGTGTGTGTGTGCGCGCAACGTTCACGTGTGTGTGTGCGCGCAACGTTCACGTGTGTGTGTGCGCGCAACGTTCACGTGTGTGTGTGCGCGCAACGTTCACGTGGTGTGTGCGCGCGCAACGTTCACGTGTGTGTGTGCGCGCAACGTTCACGTGTGTGTGTGCGCGCAACGTTCACGTGTGTGTGTGCGCGCAACGTTCACGTGTGTGTGTGCGCGCAACGTTCACGTGTGTGTGTGCGCGCAACGTTCACGTGTGTGTGTGCGCGCAACGTTCACGTGTGTGTGTGCGCGCAACGTTCACGTGTGTGTGTGCGCGCAACGTTCACGTGTGTGTGTGCGCGCAACGTTCACGTGTGTGTGTGCGCGCAACGTTCACGTGTGTGTGTGCGCGCAACGTTCAGTGTGTGTGTGCGCGCAACGTTCACGTGTGTGTGTGCGCGCAACGTTCACGTGTGTGTGGTGCGCGCAACGTTCACGTGTGTGTGTGCGCGCAACGTTCACGTGTGTGTGTGCGCGCAACGTTCACTGTGTGTGTGCGCGCGCAACGTTCACGTGTGTGTGTGCGCGCAACGTTCACGTGTGTGTGTGCGCGCAACGTTCACGTGTGTGTGTGCGCGCGCAACGTTCACGTGTGTGTGTGCGCGCGCAACGTTCACGTGTGTGTGTGCGCGCGCAACGTTCACGTGTGTGTGTGCGCGCAACGTTCACGTGTGTGTGTGCGCGCAACGTTCACGTGTGTGTGTGCCGTTCGCAACGTTCACGTGTGTGTGTGCGCGCAACGTTCACGTGTGTGTGTGCGCGCAACGTTCACGTGTGTGTGTGCGCGCAACGTTCACGTGTGTGTGTGCGCGCAACGTTCACGTGTGTGTGTGCGCGCAACGTTCACGTGTGTGTGTGCGCGCAACGTTCACGTGTGTGTGTGTGCGCGCGCAACGTTCACGTGTGTGTGTGTGCGCGCGCAACGTTCACGTGTGTGTGTGTGCGCGCGCAACGTTCACGTGTGTGTGTGCGCGCAACGTTCACGTGTGTGTGTGCGCGCAACGTTCACGTGTGTGTGTGCGCAACGTTCACGCGCGCAACGTTCACGTGTGTGTTAACTGTAATGCGAATATTTGTGTGTATTTGTGTGTGTGCGTCGTGTACACGCCATGTAATGTGGGGAGCGCTGTAGTGTAGCGATTAAAGCACTGCGCTAGGAACCGAGCAAAGAGTTCGATTCCTGCTCGTGGCCAGCAGCAGGTGACGATTTATCTGAACCTGTGCTGGGCCTCCCCTACGTCCACTCAGTCTCCAAATGGGTACCTGGTGCGGTGTGTAAATATCAACACAGGGGAGACAAAGGCGGCCGGGCGTGGTGCTGGTCACCCACCCCCCCTCGTCTGCTGCGCTGTCCTTAATAGGTGCTGCTCGCTAACAGCACTTGCCCCAACAGTCTGTTCAAGGCTATTCTGGGCATCTTTGTCTTTTGCTATGGAATGCGCATCATCCAGCAATGGATTGACCATGGCTGCTGCTGATGACGCGTGCAGTACGCGTGTAACAACACGCGGGATATGTGTAAAACTATACTGCATCAGTATATGCGAGCGAGCAGTTATACTGCATGCGATGACTGGTACTGCACGTTTAATATAATACGTTGATTGTGTATGTGCGTGCGCGTGCGCGCGTTCAATCCACGTGTTCTGCATTTGCTGTATGTGGGGAGCGGTAGTATAGTGGTTAACGCGCTGCACTACGAACACCCCCCCCGGCCACCCCCAGTTTCATTTGGCGCCCAACGCCACCCAACGCCACCCCAGGTGACGACTACCCGAACCGGTCCTTGGACTCCCACGAGGTCGACACGGCCCCGTCCGCGTGCCGAATCCGATGCGCAGCCATCGCCACTGAGTCTGCGCGATGGAAGCGATGAAATCCTCATCCCGTTCCGCATCTTCCCTCCCCACGTCTCCCCCGTCTCTGAACCCACGGGCGTGCATCACACGCGCGTACACAAGACAAAGATACGCCCACCCCCCCCTTAACCGGACCTTTGCGGGGGGGGGGGGGGTAATGTGGTATGTTCGCGAACACAAATGAAGGGCCGGCCAAGAACCACGCCCGGTCGCCTTTGTCTCCCCAGTGTTGATGTTTTTTTACACACCGCAGCAGGATACCCGTTTAAGGGCCGAGTCGACCTAGGGGGAAGTGCGAGGACCGGTTCAGATAATCATCACCCGAGGCTGGTGGCCATGAGCGGGAATCAAACTTGTTGCACGGCTCCTTCCCTCGCACTGCTCCACTTTGGAATTCCCTCCTCCCATCGTTTCCTCTCGCCCCCCCCCCCCCCCAGCTCTTTTCAACCTTCCTCGATTCAAGACGCGGTGTGTTCTACTCGTGTCCACTACGGCAACTTGGTGCTCCATAGCAGAGGCTTGTGCGTTATATCGCGTAAAATATAAACGCGTCGTTAAACCCGCCGCCGCCGCACGACCAACGAGTAATGTTTGTCACGTGAACGGGACATGCCAATTAGTTAAGCGCTCAGCACACCGGTGTGGGGAATAAACCCGCAACATTTACAATTCGAGTGTGACGTTTCGCCGGTAATTACAATCAACATCGTCAAGCGACAGCCAGAGTTGTGGAGAAATCCTGTTTCGCTCTTAAACTTAGTGCTGTTTGTTGCTGCCCGCTTGGCGTTTTGGGCCCTTATTTTGGACATGTGCTTAGCCGCCACGATGCAGATTATGATACATTTTAAAGTGCCATTTTTTTTTTTACTTCCACAGTAATCTCTCGCCAACGGTCATCAGCCACCTCAGAACGGGAGTCTGGCTGTTGCTTCGGGAGGTCTTCACAACCGGGATAACCCCTTTCTGAGACGGAGAAACAAGAGGAGACCAAGGGGGGGGATCTTACGGCACGCAACATCCCCTTGAGTTCAACTCCGAGGGAAGGTTCATTCATAATGGCTACGCCGCCCAGCACAGCGGAGAGCGGAGGGGGGGCTGCCTCGAGTGGAGCGGGGAAGGACCCCTCTGCGCGTGTCCTGCGACCCCCAACCGGTGAGTGTGTGTGTGTGGTGACATTGATCGAGAATGGAAAGATGTGGAGGTGATTGGACTCGCCGATTTGACCGGGTGACCAGTGTGGTGTCAAGATCGCCCTCTGTGGAGGAGGCTCGTGAAGGACGCTGCTGCTGGGGAATTTGAGGCAGTCGCCCTCCAGTAACAGCGGAGGGCGGAGGAGCGACACTCGCAACAACGAGCGGAGATTCATCTTCTTGGTTCTTTCGCTAAAGTCACGTAGAAGGTAAATAATAAAATAATTAAAATAAAACATTATAAAATACAAATTTCACGACGTTTCGGCCACAATGCAAGCAGCCGTCCTCATGTGAAGAACAGGTCTGTCGGAAAGACAGCGTCTGAATGAGTCTTTCCGACCGACCGGTTCTTCACCTGAGGACGACTGCTTGCGTTGTGGCCGAAACGTCGTGAGAATTGTATTTTATTATGTTTTATTATTTTATTATTTCCCTTCTACGTGACTTTACCGAAAGAACCAAGAAGATGAATCCCTGCAGTCACGAAAGCTTTAAACCGAAATTTAACGAGCGGAGAGTTGTCACAGTGGGGGAGCACTGTTGGTGTATCAGCCAGCCATCTCAGTCCGTGGAACCATGGCACCTGGCTCTGTTCCATGGCCTCCTGCCAGCAGGCTTTCGACACTGCACGAGGCTTCACAGTGCACCCAGCATGGCACAAGCGCCGTGGAGACGTCACCGCCACTTAAGCGGCGAACCGCGGTTGTTGGTGGCCACCTATCCCCCGCGTGTGTTGCGTGCAGGTGCTTGCAAACGACACTTGCCCCAACAGTCTGTTATAAACTACACGGGGGTGTTATTTATTAGGCAGATGGACGGGCAAGCAGTCGTGTTTAGCCACCACTGCGAATAATGGACAGAAGTTGGTCCACACGAGTCTAGTAGCCAATTGACACGATCTTAACAGCAAGTACACTAATGGATTTTACAGTAGTACACAAATGTGTGCTGCTCCGAGACTGCAGGAGGACACGAGTCTCATCCGGTATGCCAGGTGACCGCATTGTGCGTGCAATTGTTCCAGGAGAGAATCTTGAGTGTTGTTTGTCTCCGTTGTAACCGTCTCGTTTGTATCCCGTTTAATTCTCTCTCGCGGTCTTATTAATTTCATTAAGCACAGGACAGGTTTAGGATATTTTGACGCTGGCAAAGGACGTCCCATGATGTAGCTGCTCATTCCGAGCTCTCAATGTTCTGACAGTGGCATTGTCTTTGTGCTGTTCGCCTTTTGGCGTCCTCTGGTCTAACACCGTTTGAGACGAGGCTCTAAAGAAAGCTGTCTGTGGTGTGGACCAATCGGTTTCAAAGACAATGCATATACTGTCAGAGCATGTTTTTGTTTGCATGTTCACCACAAGACATGATTCCTTGCAAAAGGTTTCAGTTTGGTGTTTAAACATCTTAACACCTGTTTTGTTGCCAGAAAGGGGAAAACATATTTTTATGTGGGGGGTAACTCTCCTCCTGTGTGGTTACTCTCCCAACCTCCTTCCAAAACGTCTGGCCAGTGTGTGCTTTTAAAGTAGGCCAAATACAGTACTGTGTGTTACCGTCTGGATGGGTCTCTAGAGCTCCCCCGGGGTGAGAGGACACCCACCGCTATAGCGGTGGCGTAGGCCGGCACTTTCAGGGCTGCACCTTTTACCATCTACGCGTTGCCCCATTCCACACGCACGCGTTTATAAATCACGCGCGCGCGCGCCAATGGAGGGCTTATTTTAGCCCAGCGAGAAAAGGGGGGTGGTGGGGGGGTAGTGTGTGTCTGTGTGCGTGTGTATGTGTTATGGGGAGCGGTGGTGTAGCGGTCAGCGCACTGTGCTACGAACCCGGTGATCCGGGTTCAATTCCCGCTCACGGCCAACACCAGTGACGATTATCTGAACCGGTCTTGGGCCTCCCCCAGGTCGACTCGGCCTCAAATGATTACCCAGTGGCGGTGTCAACATCGCCACTGGGGAGACAGGCGGTCAGGCGTGGTGCTGGCCACCCCACCACCCCCTCGTGTACCGTTCCAGCCTTCATAAGTGCTCGCTAACAGCACTTGCCCCTACAGGCTGTCAAGGCTATACGGGGGATCTTTGTCTTTGTTTGTGTGTGCGCGAGGTGTGGCGGTATGGATTTTTGTGTCGAGGTACTTAAGCCCGGAGAGAGAAAAAAATACCACAGGTGCCCCCCCTCCCCCCCATCATTACACACAGCCCCCCCACATCCCCCAATCCAAAATAACGACGTCGCGACCCCTCCCACACGGTACGGAGCAGGGTGGGACGGGCGTCCTGCTTGGTCCGTCTACTTGACGAGGAGGGGGGGGGGGCGTGAGAATGAGTAGGTCGGGGGTTGCTGGACCACGCAAAGGTGGAGCAAATCCGTAGGTGGTGCCTGGTGTGGGGGTTGTTCCAGCAAGGTTGGGGGGGGGGGGGGGTTGGTGCGCGTCCCCACGTGGTTTACAGGGCGGCCGAGGTTAGTGGATCGGGCAGAGACGGAGCAATGGGGACGAGAAGGCCGTGCAGTATGCAGGAGATGTGCATTGCTGCTGTTATAGCCATCGAGTCGGGGATGACGGAGCGAGTCCTGGGATGGTGGAACCGTGAATCTAAGCCAGGATATATGTGTGTTATATATATATATTTCTAGTTGTGAACGTACGCTCAACCGAATATTTTAGCCAATTTTTTTAGTTTTCGTCCCCTCCACCTAGAATATCGTTGCATTTCTGCCGATTGCTCAAGATCGTTTGACACGTAAGGAGACATTCGGGCGCGGCACGGACACTGATGAGGAGGCGAAGGAAAGCAAACGAAGCCTTGCGATAGCACGGCGGGGCTAAATCCTGCAACAAAGCGTGGCGATGATTGTCAAATGGGGGGAATGAGTTGACAGGGCGATGGAAAGGGTTTGAGTGTGTCAGTGTCGGTGTGTGTCAGTCTTTGTGTGTCGGTGTGTGCGTGTAAATGTGTTGGGAGCGGTAGTGCAACGGTTCGCGCGCTGCGCTTACGAACCCAGCGGGGGCCCAGTTCGATTCCCGCTCACGGCCAACACCGGTGACGAATATCTGAACCGGTCCTGGGCCTTCTCCCCCAGGTCGACTCGGCCTCAAATGAGTACCTGTTGCGGTGTGTAGTAAACATCGCCGCTCGGGGAGACAAAAGTGGCCGGGCGTGGTCCTGACCACCCCACCCCCATCGTGTGACGTTCCCACTTTCACGGGGGTGCTCCGCTAACAGGACTTGCCCCAACGGTCTGCGTAGGACACATGCCAGGGAGGATGTTTGTGTCTGTCTCTCTCTCTCCCATTCTGTGAGAATGGCTTGGACAAATACAACAGAGGGGGCAGCGGTGCGTGGAATGGGGAGGGGGGGCAGCAGAGGAGAGAGGCCTCGGGGTTCATGAACAACAGAACGCCCACCCCCCACTCGACTCCCCATACTGCTCAATACAGCCGTCTCGCCTACCCAATCCTCGCCCAGCTGTGTCGCTCTTCATATCGCAGCGTTTCCCCATCTCTTGGTGGGATTTCACTCTGGGTTGGAGTGTGTTTGTAGTGTTTTCAGTGGTAATGTAGCGGTTAGCACGCCGCGCTACGAACCCGGCCACCCGAGATCGATCCCTGCTCACGGCCAACCCAGTGACGATTATCTGAACTGGTCATGGGCCTTCCCTAGGTCAGCTCGTCCTCAAATGAGTACCTGGTGCGGTGTGTAGTAAAGTCATCGCCACCGGGGAGGCAAGGACGTGGTTCTAGCCACCCATCCCCTCATGTGCCGTGACGGCCTTCATAGGTGCTACTCGCTCACCGGGGGTATTTTGTCTTTGGTGTTTTTGGTTGTTTTTTGGAGATGCGAGATTTTTATTTTCAAGTGAACCAACTTTATATATCAATAACTGAAACCTTGTGAACCCGATTCCTCCTCCATTGTGTCCCTACCGGAACGGTGAATCAAGTCAGCGGGTGATGCAATCCAAATGCAGATCCGCATCTCTTGACCAAGTGGGTAAAAAAAAAAAAACTCAAATTGTATGTTAAATTCTTTTTTGCCATCGCGATCTGCGTAACATTTCTCGCCACGAATATTAGGATTCTGTCGCCATCGTGGAACTTTGGTCCCATCTTTCTCCCCGAGGGCTACCTACCTACCATGTGGGATTCCCAAATAGAACCAACCTTTTTTTATCTAGCTCTGATGCTTTTTTGTGTTTGATCGCGTAAATATATAAATATGTCCATTTAAACCCGCCACCACCCGACACAGCCAATTAGTAAGGTTTGTCATGTACACAAAACGTGCCAATTCGTTATGAGTACAGCACACCGCTGTGTTGGAGAGTAAACCCACAACATTTACAAATGAGAGAATTACGTTTTGACGGTAATTACAACCAGCTTCATCAGGTAACGGCCAGAGCTGTGGAGAAAATCCTGTTTCGGTCTTTATATTTACACGATATAACCCAATCACCTTGTATATTTGCCTTTGCACTTCCCCAATGCTTAATTTTGACGTCTCTAATCAATTCTGTGTTTTTTGTATCCTTTGATTTTTGTTTTTAATATTTTTCCTAATAGTTTTTTACAGTAAATTCTGAGAACCGTATTTTGAGTCCTTTCGTCGTTGGACATTTGCATCTCTCTTTCGCTCGCTCCTCTTCAACAAATCCTTTGTGGTCCTCCGATTATTATGCACTTTTTGATTGTTACCCTTTTCTCTCCATTCTATAGGCTGGTTAGCGTGCTACAATTTGTAGAATGGTGATGTCCCCGTTGACATTGTGCTTCAAAGTAGTGTGTGTATTTAGTTGTTTATGTAGTTTATACTTTAGTTTTTTACGCGGTTGTTTAGCAACTGCAGCTACATACTATTAACATTCCTTTCCTTTGTTAATGCTACCCCCCTTCCCCCTCCCTTTGATGCTGCTAATCCTGCATAATGCACGGGCATAATATTAATTTGAAACCCCCCGCCCACCTCCTACGCATTTTCCATATGCTAAATTCATCTTGATATGCAAATTATTTTGTCTAGGCGTTCTTCCCCCCCCCTCCAACCCAGCATAAATATACGCTCCAAGCCTGGTGGTGTTTCATTCTTCACCTGAGGACGGCTGCTTGCGTTGTGGCCGAAACGTCGTGAGAATTATTTTATTATGTTTTATTTTTATTACTTCCCTTCTACGTGACTTTACCGAAAGAACCAAGAAGATGTGTGTATTTGTGTTAGGTGTTTACTAATCACACCTACCCTCGGTCTAAGGCTATATGTGGCGAATCTTTGCCTTTTGTAATCTATGATCTGTAGTCGACCAGTCTTCTCGGTCGGTCAACCCATGACACCCCGGCCTGCCCCATAATATGTCCAGCGAGCCTTCGACACTTCACCTGGTCTCCAAAGGGCCCCTAGCCTGGCACCAAGCGCTGTGGTTAATTTCAAGTTCAAGTTCATTTATTATGTGTAGCCCTGTGAGCCATTCGGCTCTTGAATCCGGTGCAACCGCAACAAACAGAAAACAAAAACATGAACAAAAAACATCTTAAAGTGAATATGTGACTGAGTGCAAACAGAAAATCCAAGAAAAGACAGCAAACTATTGGAGAAAAAGCACCGTACACAAAAATGTGCAAAAATCCCAGTGGGATGCAAGTCAAACAACAACGACCACAAGACAACTTAGATTAAGGCCATCAGTCTAACTCTGTACTACAACAAACAAACATGGCCAAACCAAAAAACTTATCGAAAATCACCAAAATAAAGCCATAAAAGCAATGAAACAGTGGTCATAGGAACTGTGACCGAATTTTCACAATAAACGACGTAAATAACATGTACCACCAAACTCCGCAGCCATAGCTGGCTGCATGAGTTGCACGTCTTCGCCACTTTAGTGGTGAATGGGTGGATGTTGTTGGGTCTTGGCAACTTACATTCTCGGAGAACTGTCAGATGTATTTCAGGCAGGCCTGACTCTGCTGACGAGACACCACGTGTGTCAAAACCAGCCCCAAAGTGTTTTTACTGAACTGAATCCATGCTGCTGAAATTATGCACTCCCAGAAAGCACATGGGGCCAAGGGCATGCGAGATGACACTCATGATTATCTTGTTGGGAAAAGTAATGGTTTATTTTAAATGCCTAAAAAAGGCTCGTAGTGCCAGACGAAGGCACAGTTCCATGAATGTTCTTATGATTCTAATGGATATCCAAGACGAGGCTGAGATGAAGGCTAAAGATTTGTTTAAGCAGCTTAGGGGTTTAATATTTCCTGTTTGGAGAGCCGGACTAAGAACACCTTTTTTAAGAGGGAGTCCGTCTAAAGCTCCGTTACAATTGAGATCTCTGGGTGAAAGGCGATTTAGAAGTGTCAATTATTATTATTGTTACTGCAGTGTTGGAGGTCAAAGACTCGGGTGTCTGACTGACACATTTTTAAGATCCTTAGAGGTCACGCTGTTAATGTCTGACCATTTAGTGAGTCAGTCTAAGGTACGCTTAACAAACAGAAAAACCTCGTCAGTAACACTCTTATTAAAATATATAGAATCGGTGACGTTTCAAGCAATGCCAGTGTTATTGACGAAGACGTTGAGGTTTTTTAAGGCCTATTTTAATATTCTTATGGTCCACTGTTAATGTCCCCGGCTCATGGAGCCGGACCGCAGCAATTGCACGAGTCAGATTGTTGGTGCACAGGCTGCAGTAAAACAGCTGATATACCCTTTTAAAGGGCTTCTATCATGAGTGCACCTGCGCGCACACAATGGACCTTCATCCGTCGCAACTAATAAATTTCGCTTGCATTGTCTAATATTTTAAGTGTGTGTTTGTGTGTGAAGCCACTGAATCGATGGCAATTAACACACAGGCCTAATGATGGTGAGATAATTAATTGGGAGCACCGCATCTCCTTAATTTGTTTTCCAAAATGTTCATTATTAATACTTTACGTGCCGAGTAATAATATAAACATAAGCCTTCGCCATTAGTCTTTGTGCAAAAAATCATAAACGAAACGAGAGTAATTAAATGCATGAAGGGGTTTTAGCGTGAAGCGTTCGTGCTGTGTGGGATGTTTGTGGAGTCGAGGGGTATGGGGTGGCGGAGGTGTGTGGAGAATGGGGGTGGTTTTGAAAACCTCTGCTTGTGTGCAATAATATTTGTGGGGAGTGGTAAGTTAAGCGGTTTGCACGTGAGGCTCCAAACCCGGTGACCCGAAATTCGATTTCCGCTTGCTGCCAACACCAAGGGGACGATGATGAAATTATCTGAATGGGTCCTGGGCCTCCACTAGGTCGACTCACTCTCAAATGAGTATCTGGTTTCGGTGTGTACACATCGCCACAAGGGATACAAAGGTGGCCAGGCGTGGTGCTGACCACCCACCCCCCTCGTGTGCCATGCCGGCCTTCATCGGGTGTGCTACTCGCTAACAGTAAGTTAAAGGCTATACGGGGGCTCTGTTTTCGAGTTTGTGCGGTGCGCGTTTTTCTGCTAGTGGTGTGTGTGCGCGTGTGTGGTGTGAAATATTTGTGTGTGTGTGTTAGCGATGTTGCGTTTTTGCATGTCCTAGGTGCGCACAGTAACAACAACAACGGCGGCTGTGGGTTTTCTCGCAGATTACAACGATTGGTGCGAAGTGGCCCACGGCTGCACTCGCAAGCTGGGCATGAAGCTGTGTGGTAAGTCTCTAACATCCCTCCCCCCCCCCTCTTCTCTTTCGCAAGTGTCCGCGTCATTTTTGTTTGCCAGTCCTCTGCCTGCTGCATCCGCTGCGTGCCAGCCTACGTGACCGCCTAACAGAGGTCGCAACCGGGTACCCGATACCCGTACCCTACCCGATACCCGGCTACCCGTACCCAGCCAGGCACGGGTACGGGTACCCGTTTGCGACCCTGGTGCGGCCGGGTACGGGTAGGCCGTGAGTCACTGGTGAGTAACCGTTTGTCACTCATTTCTGGTAGGGTAGGGTACGGGTAGGATACGGCTACCTGTACCCGGCCGGGTACGGGTACCCATTTGCGACCCTGGTGCGGCCGGGTACGGGTAAGGAATCAAAACCCGTTTGCGACCTCTGCCGCCTAACCTGGCAACTACCAAACGTACTGGATTAGTATTACTATTACCTGCAGGTCTGTGTGTGTGTATACTATTGTGCCTGCATGACTGGCAGGCTGTGTAGGTGTCTCTTCTATATTCTTCCAGTCTAAGGCTGGTCTCTTAGCGCTCTGTGCACGTCTCTTCTTCACTGTCATGCCAAGTCTCCGACATTCTGCCAAGTTAAAATTTCACCCGGGTGCTACGGTGGCACACTTTCACTATACCTCCTAAAGTCTCTTTCCCTCCTCCCAATGAAGTTTCAAACTCCTCTTGGCAGACAGCCCTAGACACGGCTCTGGGTGTGTAGCTACAAGATTAGAGCCGTGTGTGCTCCTTTGAAAGGTCGAGTCTTGCTTTAACTTTCCCTTTTGAAGACTCCTCTCTATCTATCTCTCTCATGGCAGTACAGCTGGGCTATGCAGAGGCAGATCCAGAAACTGCCCAAGTTGGGTGAGGTCCTGAAATATTAGCTTTTGAAAAAGGGCCTGGCATTGATGAACAAAAACATATTTGGTAAATATCAATAATATACCAGTTTACAATCCTGGAGGCTTCCATCCAATCAATAATATACCTTGTTAGAAATTTGTTTTGACGCCGTCATCATGAAGAGACATTATGATGATGACGCTCTGTTCCATTCCGGTGCAGTTCCAACTTTTTCACCAGCGGTGCGGCTGGTGAGTATGCAGGCAGTGCAAATGCATCGACGCCCATGGGCCGAAGGGGCCCTGATGCTCTGCTAAAGAGGTGGGGGGGGGGAATCTTAAAGCCCCCCCCCCCCCCCCCATTATATTATTTGGACCAGGGCCCATACCAATCGCGCTACGCCACCTCCATTCCCCACTCCACCTGTGTGGCCCTGACTTTGTCCTTGGCCCAATGTGTACGGGTCCCCTGACCTCGCCCTTAAGCAGTGAGGATAAACAAATGATTGCTGGTGGGAACCAACATATAAATTCTGCTTGAGGAGGGGGGCGGGGGTACAAATATTCCGGGCGGGTGTGAACCGATCTTCATTTCATCACCAGCTCGCTGTCACTGACACGGCCATTATGAGGCCCCCAGAGCCACGTGGCCAACTCGCGGCGTTCAATCTTTCGAGAGGCGGAAAAACGCAGAAGCACTTTGCGACGGACTCCCAATTTATCGCCGCGACTTTGCCGCCGTAATCATCGCCGAGAGAAATGTAAATTGTCACCGTAAATGCCGGGAGCCCCCTTTTTTTGTTAACTGTGTAAAAGCCGCCCCTGAGTAATGGAGAACACCGGTTCATTTGTGGCTCGTTGAAGGCAGAGTCGTCGTATTTATCACTGCGCGCGGCTCGTTCACGAACAAGAACTGTTTTATGTACAGAATTGTTAGTGCAGGCATCCAACGCCACCGTCGGCCACGAGCAGCTGCGCTTTATCCACTGCTTGATGATGGAATTGGAATCTTTTCCGGTCCTGCGATGCTGCGATTTATTGCACACCTGAACTCGGAACGACTTTTCCCTCCTTCGGCTGCACTCCATCGTAAGGCTTGACCGTCGAGCATAGTGTCCTGACCAAACCCGGTCTTGTTGCTGAACAGTCGGAACGATGTCTCTAAATTGCATTGGGTGGGTGCATGGTACAGATAAAGATGCCAATTTAATGAAACCTCCGGAGTAGTTCTCATTGAGGTCGTCTTCCAGGACCATTCTCTGGCACAAGGGATGTGCGCTGCTTCTCGCTTCTTGAATTGAAAATGTCTTGATCTCATGACATGGTGCTGACGGCACAATTGAAATAAAAATAAATTCCGTGTTTGTAATACATGTGAAGACATTATTCACTGCTGTGTTGGCAGTGATGCAACAAGCATCATTTAACGAAACCATTCCCAACGTGTTCATCAATGACACTGTGGCCTGAAAAGGAAAAGTGTATAATAGGCGACGTTTCGGAAAATGACCCGTCTTCATGTCGCTGGTAAGTTTGACTCCGTATATAATGCCAACCGATGTTTGCTAATGAAGAAAGGTCATCGCCCGTAAGGCTGCCTCTAATTAATTTTCCGGTTTTTGAAGGGCCACGGTGTGATTGACGAATGCGTCGATGTTTTGTTGTCAAATTGTGAGATTAACTTGACTTCCGATTTTTTTAAAGGCACACTATGTATTGACCATCTTTTGCTTAATCAACGTTGCTTTTTGCACGCTAAAAAAATGATTGTGTTTTAACATGACCATCACCTTTTAAAAAGGTAATTGGCCTGTCCGCGTTAAGTAAAACTGAACAGATTACGAGCCGAGAGGAATAATGACGTCTGGGGTTAGAAGGAGCATGATATACAAGGTGCTTAAAAAACACATTGTCCTGCGGAGGGAGCTGGTAGGAACGTTGGGTTGCTCGGCCAATGGCCAGGGTCAACGGTGGCGTGGTGTATTCCGCAAATATGCCCGACAGTGAGGGAGGGCACAAGCCGGCGTGAGTAGGTTAAACGTTGAGTTGTTTTATAAGGGCACCACGGGGTGACCAGCCCCTCCTCACCCAGTCCCCACCCCCCACCAGCCCCTCCCCACCCAGCCCCTCCCCACCCAGCCCCTCCCTCCCCTCCCCACCCAGCCCCACCCCTCCCATTTTTGGATGCACGACGGATGGACGGACACAATAATCCTCTGTGGGCTGGTCGAACCAGGAGGCTCCTACCAGTAAAAGTGAGCGCTTTCGAGAATTTGCAACAATAGCACAGGAAGTACCTCCCAGACTCCGGAGACCACCTGGAGAAGATTCCAGGCACGTGACAATGATGGCGAACAAGTGGAGACTCTTTGACTTTTGAAGCTATTAACATACATTTGTTATCATGTTACAGTGTATTATCCGTTCTTCTTCCACTTTAAAAACGATAGTCCCATGTAAGTGTTAAAAAATTGAAGCAAACCTGTGCTTAGCTCGGAAAGCCTTGAATACGGTCCCACTAGAGCTAGAATGTGCAATTTAACCAAGCACTGCAATCGATTCACGATTATCGGTTGGTATCATAGGCCTTAACCACGTCAAAGCAGATGTGTAGGTCTTGTAGGACATTCCCTAGACCTCTGCTGCAGCAGACGGACAGAGAAAATGGCTTCTGAGCAGGACCGCCCTGCTCTGAAACCACATTGGAGCTCTGCAAGCCTCTTGGCGTGCCTGGTAAGGCAATTTTGAATAATCCTTGCCAGCACTTTTCCCGTCACACCTGAGGAGAGGGAGATGCACCTGCAGTTGTCACAGTCTGTGCGGTCCCTCTTCTCAAAGAGGGAGGCCACCGGGGGCATCCTTCCAATCCTGCGGAAATCGTCCTGTGGCCCAGACAGTTGCGATGATGTCATGTAGGGCAGTCTGCACACAGACGCCACCCTCCCTCAACATTTCGCTTGGGAGATCATCTCTGCCCGGTGCCTTTCCTGGTCTCAGACTCTGGATCGCCGCTCGTAATTCCTCCAAAGATGGCACCCTCGGTCATCCACTCGGAAGGGGTGTTTACTTCTGCCAATATTTGAGGCACCGCAGCCACAGCAGGGTCATGTCCCCCACCTTTTGCTCACCCACTCACTCACCCACCCGCTCACCCACTCCCCTGCTCGCAGGGGCTTGAGCGTTCGTTCCCCGCTTAAGTGACTGCTCCACTCCACGCAGCGCCGCTCCATCTCCTCCCCTCTCATCGCCTCCCTCTCCTCTCTCTCTTCCTCCTCTCCTTCCTCGTCCTCGTCGTGTTTGTGTTTTTGTATTTCGCTGTAAGCACCGCACACGCCGCACGTCTGTCTTTGCTTAAGCCGTTACGTTGAGGCGTGTAATGACCAGTCCAGCCGACCATGTAATGATGTTACGGGGGGCTGCCTGTGTGTGTGTGTGCGCGTGCGTGCATCTCCATGTGTGTGAATGGGTCTGTGTCTGTGTGCACGTGTGTGTGTGTCTGCATTGTGTCTGGGGGTACATTTGCGTGGATCTGCACGTGTGTCAGTGTGCGTGCATCTGCTTGTCTTTTGTGTGCATGTAGTGGGTAGCGGTTAGCACTCTGCGCTACAAACCCAGCGACCCGAGTTCGAATCCTGCTGAGGGTCAACACCAGTGACGATTATCTGAACCGGTCCTAGACCTCCCCTAGGTCGGCTCAGCCTTAAATGAGTGCCTGGTGCGGTGCGTAAAAACATCGCCACTGGGGAGACAAAGGCGGCCGGGCGTGGTGCTGGCTACCCATCCCCTCGATGTGCCGTTCTGGTCTTCGTAGGTGCTCGCTAACAGCACTTGCCCCAAAAGTCTGTTAAGGCTACACTGTGGGTCTTTGTCTTTTTTTGTACTCGCGTGGTCGTGTGCGGTTGTGTAGTATCTGTCGTGGTGTGTGCGCGTCGTCATGTTAACGTGATCGTGCGTTGCGTGTGTGCAGCATACGGGCATTCGTGTGTGTGTGGTTGTGTGCGAGTGTATTCACGTGGTGGGGTGTGACGGGGAGTGACTGACGGAACGAGCTCTCTAATTACAAACGGCCGTGTTGCCGCCGACCTGAAAGCATTAGTCCCCTCCACTGCCCGATTAGTGCGCCTAATATGCTCGCCGTGACGGATACATATCGGCTGCGGGCCGTTGCGAAGTGAGTTGCCTTTGACGCGAGGCCGTATGAATATAAAATCACCCCACCCCCTTTCTTTGAAAGCGTCTACATATGAGCACGTCTACATATGAGCACATCATGTCTACTCTTCGCAGACGGAGCGCTGGAGGAGGAAATACGATGACAATTATTTAAACATATACGGGCATCGGCCTTAATCTATCCACTGCTGGATGACGACTTCCCCAAGCTGTGTGATATCTCTCGCGGCCTTGTCTATCTTCGGCACGCAAGTTGATGTAATCTCTCTCGGATATTATGTCTTGTTTATATTGAGGGCAAATGTTTTCAGATCTTTTTTTTTTACAAACCGCAAAGGGAAGTGTATTTGCCCGTGGCGCTAAACGCAGTGACCTAAAAAAAAGGTCACCTGTCAAGGCAATAATCCCGCCGTTATTTTAGATTTTAGCGTCGCTCTGTTTTACAAAAAACGGCAACAATATTAGCTGTCTTGTCACGAGCGGCTACGCGAAATCGATTTTTCTATCGGCCACACGACCATCTGCAGCCAGATGCGTTTCCGCCAATGTATTTGTCTTTCTCGCGTTAAACTCCCGTTGACTGTAGGAGCGCAAGGCTGTTGAATTATACAATAAACAAGCGGCCCTCGGAGGATGTGTCCAACATGCGAGAGCCAAGGGGAAGGCCTGAAGCCAATCGTGGCTGTGAAGGGGCATTTGCTTCGCTTGGGTTTCAACAGTGGGGGGGGGGGGGGGGGACCAGGTATCAAACGTGCAACAGTTCTGAGACCTGGCAGAAGGTGATGTGGTATCATCGCTGTTTACCCAACGAAGAAGGAACTCTTACATTTAATTTGTCTCCCCCCCCCCCCTCCACCACCCCGCAGTTTTTATTCCAACTTTACTTTTGGCATCGTGCCATGGGACGAATCGACGATTCCGGTAACCACAGAGCTGCTCGTGAGGTCGACGCTTTCCAGTTGACGCCGGGGGGGGGGGGGGGCTTCCTCCTTACCCCCCCCCCTCCTCCCCTGGGTGCCCCACAGGAATTTTTGCCGCACCGAGGTCCAAACCAAAAGTGTGTTGTTTTTTATTTTCGAGCCTGAAATGTTGATCAAATCTAGTTCAAACCAATACAGTATTACGGTCATGGCTATTTTAGGGGCAGTTATTGGTTACCGGGCTGAACGCACCAACCTCCCTACACTGGAGACACCCAATTTAATCGCCGTGCGGCTGAAACCCCGGATTAAAAATCTTCACACCGCAGCTTCGTCGCGTGTCCGTTTTGCGAGCCGTGCACGTAACAGCGAGTCGGGGGGCAGGGGGGGGTGAGTCGACCCCCTCCCCCCGCCTGGTCGTCTTTGATGGGCGCCCGTTGTGCCGGCGTGGTCCGCAGGGTTCCTGCAGCGAGGGGTGTTGGACGAACGCGGCTCTGGCGGCGTGCCGGGCTCGCTCGGGAGCCAGCAGAGCCAGCAGCAGGCTGGCGGGGGTCGGCTCGGCGGCGCGGACGGCACCGCCGGCTGCAAGGGAGACGGCGCCGAGATGGACGGCGACCCCAGGGTTCACCGCCGCGCAGAGGTCAACTTCTCTAACCTGTACGCACGAGGTGAGTGCCTGGATGGATGGAATGGGGTGGTTGGGTGGACGGAGGCAAGGATAGTAGAGATCGACGAAGGAGGAGAGGATGGATCATCATCGTCACGATGATCAATTCGTCCGTAATCGTGACAATGATGACTAATGACAAATGAGGAAAATGATGACGAAGAATGGCATTGTCGCCAGTCACGGGCAACAATGATGACGGTGACGACAACGATTATGACGATCACCCCAGACCTGCTGCCAGCCAAGAACGGCGAGGAGGCGACGGTGCAGTTCCTGCTGGAGCTGATGGACATCCTGCTGAGCTACATCCGCAAGACGTTCGACCGCTCCACCAAGATCCTGGACTTCCACCACCCGCACCAGCTGCTGGAGGGCCTCGAGGGCTTCAACCTGGAGCTGTCGGACTCGCCCGAGTCGCTCGAGCAGATCCTGGTGGACTGTCGAGACACGCTCAAGTACGGCGTGCGCACAGGTCGGTCGCTCGCCCAGTAGCTCGCCCACTTTGCTCGCCCACTTTGCTCGACAGCCTACCGACTTGATTATTCGTTCAGAGTTCAGAAGCTGTGTTTTTATCCTGGAGAAATCCGATGGGCTATGAAGCTAGTTTGTTAAGGACGTCCACTCGAGGTGGGTTCTCAGGTTACAACAGCCGAACGATACAAACAACGATAGGAGTGCAAAGTATAGGAAATGTAAGCAAATCACGAAAAATAAATGCAGAAAATAAATAAAGTATCAGGTCCAAATTACACTAAGTACACCAATTCTCAATCTTGTGCAAGGCAGCAAAAAAAAACAGTCCCCTGACCACACCAAGACAACAACAGTCCCTCCAAAATGAGTTGATCACATCCATTAATCTGCCCTTGTGCTCACACTCGCCAACTTAAGGTTGAAAGCTTTGACGCCGTGAGCCCTGTCCCACGTTGAAGGGAACTTCCGTTTGAGGTCGTGCTGCTGTCGGGGACTTGGCTGAAAGGAAGCCAGATAGATTGATCAATGGGGTTGCCCAAAACCTTTGGAAGATCCGAAACGTGCTCGCCCTGGCGACCAGATGCCCGTCGGTAATTCAATAATTCTGAAGACAAAAACTCGCGTGCTGGAAAGCGTCGCGTGACGCACGATTATTCGTAACTTGTCCATGATGGATTTTTATTCAGCCGATCAATCGGGTGTGTGTTTTATTTGCTACACGGAGAGAGTCCCGTTAATTTATCCGGCCAGTTGTCTTGTCCTATATATATATTTCTATAGCAGAGCCTTATTCCAAGGGGCCCAGAGCTTCGCTCTTCGCGATGCGTGGCGGCGCAACCCCTGTGAGTGGATGCCTCGAATTGGGTCGAGCCCCACTCGCCCCCCCCCCCCCCCCTGTACCGTGCTGCTAGCCAATGGCATAATGACAGCTCGAGGGGGCATCTCGTCAAAGCAAGCCCTGGGCCCAACGAGTCCACCAATGCGACCTCCAATTCGTCTGACTCTCACACACAAGACAAAGATCCCACCCCCACCCCCCACTCCATAGCCTGTACAGGCTGTTGGGGCAAGTGCTGTTAGCAGTGTCGGATAATTATATCGTAGAAGCAAAAGTTGCTACAAATGTAGCTACGGACCCCACACCTTCAAGGGCCCCGCACTTTCAAGGGCCCTGCACTTAAATGCTTTGAAGCTATCGATTCTGGTTCAGTGATTCTGCACTTGCTCTATTACTATAGTACTATACTACCTTCAACTTTTATGAACGACTGGGTGTTTAAGGTTAGCGATTTGTCGTATTATCTGGCTGTATAGCAAATGAAAAAATACAATTACTTTATTATGCAAGTAAAAAATGTGTCTTTTTTAATATTTGTGTATTTCTTTTAATTTAGGGCCCTTTATAATATATGCTACAGGCCCCGCACTATCTTAATCTGGCACTGGCTGTTAGCGAGCACCTATGAAGGCTGGCATGGCACACGAGGGGTTGGGTGGTCAGCACCACGCCCGACCGCCTTTGTCTCCACAGTGGCGATGTTTACACACGCACCAGGCACTTGTTTGAGGCTAAGTCGACCTAGGGGAGGCCCAGGACCAGTTCAGATATTCGTCACTGGCGTTGGCTGTGAGCGAGAATCGAACTCGTGTCACCGGATTCGTAGCGCAGCGCACGGACTGCTACAATACCACCACCACACTCGCGCGTGCGTTCGTTTGTGTTTTGTGTGCCCTTGGCAAGCCGATTCGCTAAGAATGGACCATCCCACCAAGGAGGATGATGATGATGATGATGCCGGTGCTGATGATAATGCTCACAATGAAGCTCAGACTGCTGATGCTAATGATGCCAATACTTCATTTGCCATTGCCGCTGATGATGATGATGATGATACAAAGAGCTGCTGCTCTAACTCAAGCTGTTGCAGCTGATACGGTTCTTTTAGCTGCTGCTGCTTATGTTAAAAGGTAGTGATGATGATGATGGTGGCTATCATAATGATTATTGTGATGGGTCTTTACAAATCTCACTGGCTGGGATGTGAACTCATCATGTCGTGGCGCGGGGGAGGGGGTGGTCGCCCTGCCTATGGAGCCGAATCAAGGGCGGGGGGCGGGGGGCGGGGCAGGCTACGTGTGATTCTAAATGGAGATGGGGGGCTGACGGCTATAAACGCTTGGGGTTATAATTGCCCTCTCCTAATTGCCGCTGCAGATGTCCGCTATTGGGGCCGTGTTTTTGTTCGACTGCCGTGGTGGGAGGGTTATCTGGCACCAGGGGGTGGGGGGAGGGGGTAAAGTGTCACAGTGACACCTTCAGCCCGCCCCGCTAGAATGCAAAACCAAAGACGACAGAGACACCCCCCCCCCCCCCCCCCCCATGCACACTGCTGGGGCAAGTGCTGTTAGCGAGGTAGCACCCTAATGAAGGCACGGGGGGGTGGGTGGCCAACACCACGCCCGGCCGCCTTTGCCTCCCTGGCGGCGATGTTTACACACCGCACAAGGAACACACACACACACACACGCGCGCGTGTGCACGTGCACCCTAACGCACGCGCGCACTCGCACACGCAAGCGATCTTTTCCAAGCCCGCTTATAGCAATGCAATTAACTGGCAAAATGTGTACAGGTAAGGGAGCCTGGCCTTTAGTTATGGCTCCTGGTTCAATGCAAAACTATACAATACCCAACGCAAAATAATCATTAGCGGCATTTCGAAGAATATAACAGTAATACTTGCTGAAACGTGTAATTCCCAGAAGGCAGTGTGGACAATCGGATTTTGTAACAAAATAAATATATACGTGGAGAGACCGATTATCGGATGTTTCTACCGATTGTATTTAGCATAACATTGTCCATGTATGACGCTAACGGTTGCTTCATGTTTGCGTCGATGTTTACAATTTATAAATTTGTGCGGAGACTGAGCGAGGGGAACCGGGCGGCTCGTGTGCGGCGTAGGAGCTCGGTGGAGAGTTGATGCCACGGGGGGAGGGCGGGGGATTATCTTCATCCAGCAGTCGATGGATAACGGCCGTCGATGATGGTTTGTATTGTACGTGTCGTGTGTTCCAGGTCACCCACGGTTTTTCAACCAACTGTCTTGTGGCCTGGACATCATTGGATTGGCGGGGGAGTGGTTGACCTCGACAGCCAACACCAACATGTAAATACGCACGTGTGTGTGTGTGATTGTGTGTGTACGTATAGACCCTTGTCAATCTACTGTTGGATGAGCGCCTCAACCACGGCGTGGCGTTTGTCGCCTGCACAGCGCCCCCCACCAACCTTTGTTTCCCTCTCCCCCCCCCCAGCCACCCCCCTACCCAATGCTGCTGTTTGCACGCCACACCGGGTACAGCTCTCGCTTATGGCCGAGTCAACCTCGTGGGGAAATCCACAACCGTTTATGATGACACTTTATCCCGTCGTCAAAATATTCGCCACTTTTATTAAGTCGCGAGCGGGAATCAAACTCTGGAGGCCGAGTTTGTGGCGATGTGCGCCGACCGCTGCACCACCGCTCCCCTCCTACGCGCTCTCGCAACGCACGGTGAACCTCGCACTCGCCGCGTCACGTCGTCCGCGATGCCGAAAGCCCCTTCGTCGCTGCAGGCAAAGGGCTTTGAATTTAAAATCCCTCTTCGTCCAATTTGCTGGAGCGTGAACGTGTATCAATTAGGCGTTTCATCTCTGGTGGGGTGGGCGGTGTAGGCGGAATGGGGGTGAGGGGGTCATGTGATGGTCGGGGTCGGCCTAACTCCATCGGCAGCAGCAGCATCACTAAGACCACCAAAATCATTATGATCAGCAGCAGTATCATTGACACCACCATCGAAATCATCGTCAGCAATAGCAACAGTAGCAGCATCACTAACACCATCGTCAAAATCATCTAAATTAATTATGGTCAATCCACTGCTGGATTAAAGCCCCCCCCCCCCGCAAATTGTGATGCCAAAAAAATCGGCATCACAATTTCTGAGTTTTGTTTTCCCCCCAAGAAATCAAAATAAGCGCATGTCTCGCGGCAGCAGAGCGGAGTGCGCGCGATGCTTGGCTACGGCCGGGGGGGGGGGAGAAAGAGGGGGGGGGGGAGAAAGAGGGGGCCTGTTAAATAAAACAACCTCCCACAAGCGCTGGGGCGAAGTTTAATGGAGACGAGCGGCAACATTGCTACCGCCCCGGAGGATGACCGATCCTCCTCCTGCTCCTCGTTATCGGGGCTTGATGGGTGGAAACGCGATCGGCTCTGATGTGGCGGCGACTCCAGCCCCCGGTAGTGACGGGGCGGTGGCGGCCGAGCGCTCGAGATCACCCCCCCCACATCCCTCCCCCCACATCCCTCCCTCTCCTCCGTCAGCTCCGTGAGAACAAGGAGAGCGGAATCGTGAAAGATCATGAGCGATGGAGTTGGAGGAATCCGGGTTGGGCTCGTGGCTCCGAGCACCGATCTGAGTGCCGCTGAGAGATTTCGTTCTATTCCGGAGGGGTGGGGTGCGGGGGGGTTGGATTTAGCCGCCCGTGATTTTTAGCCGGGTTCTCAGTCTCAGCGTGGCGAGGGAATTGTGGCGGTCTGAGCTCGGTCACCGATGACTGCACAAAAATAGAGAGAAGCCCCCCCCCCCCCCCCCCCAATCGTTACATTCTTGGCACGTTGGACTGTAATCCTGAGGTCGTTGGTGCGGCAGGTGAAACGTTGATGCAAGTTTCTTAAATTCTCCCCCCCCCCCTCCTCCCTCCAATAGGTCCCGTGTGTGGTGGGGTAAAGTGTGGGCACCTCGATTTTTCCAAAGATGTCGAGTGATAATGGAAGAGTAGGCCCAACACCCTCCATTGGGGGGTGCTCTAGGATTCCGTCTTGTGGAGCCCCCCTTCCTTTCGCCAGTGGCGTGGGAAGGCAATTGCAGGGCTTCACCTTTGCATGTTCCCTAATGCAGTGCAGAACATTGGATGATTTGTCTTCATTGTGTTCGTGCCGAATGGGAGGCCGAGTAATTACAGTGAGCAGGGTTATGCATCCGTGGATGTTGAGTGTGAGATTCGCTGGTTACTGCCCGAGTAGTTCGACTTGGCCTCAATGAGTAGCTGGTGCGGTGTGTGTGTGAAAACAAAGGCGGCCAGGCGTGGTGCTGGCCACCCACCCCCTCGTGCGCTGTGCCGGCTGCCATAGGTGCTTCTCGCTTAACAGCACTTGCCCCGAACAGTCTGTTAAAGGCTACACGGGGGATATCTGACTGCCATAGTGACATCTGGTGGATTCTCATTAAGTCAATCTCAAAGATTAAAACTAATAAGATAGCTCGTCTTTGAATATTCGCCTTTCGGTGAGAGTAAATGATGTCACGGTTGTTGGGCATTCGCCACTGTGCTGCTGTGCACAGCTCGCGGATGCGCGTTGTTTTGGCACGATGTCCGACGTTTCACTCCGCGTGCCCGGGAGCTCCTCGAGGAAGTGATTTTGTACGGCCATGCTGGCGGGGGCGGCGGCTGCTGCTGGTACCATGCCTCGAGTTAACGGAGGCGTTCGTAAGGCGACGGTCATGTTGTGGATCGGTGTGTTTTGTCACCGAAACGTGACGCTCACATCCTCCACACGCATGAAAAATATATCCTGCACGCTGTCCATGCCACAGCCTATGCGATTCCCCCCCCCCCCCTCCCCGAAAGCGTCACCCTGCGGTGGTTTGAACCACCGCCAGAACTGAAAGAGAACTCCACCTCATCCCATATAGAACCATCGTTTCATCCAATACAGAGCCCTCTTCTCATCCAATGTAAACTCATTGACCCATATAATAGTGCCCTAGTGAAAAAAAACAACTCGGTGTAACTATGGCAAGCCTGTGTTCTGTGACGAATGTTAATGCATTTCAATGGGTCTTCGCCAAATAACTGTAAGATGGAAGTAATTTCCCAAGTAACATGAAAAGGTAATTGTAGTAATTTCCTGGTAGATGTTTGGTCTATTATTGTGTCTGTGTTGTGTGTGTGTGTGCACGCATTGAATGTATTGTGGCACAGCGGTGTAAACATCAGTACCGGGGAGACAAAGGCGGCCGAGCATTGTGCTTGGTCACCATGCTCCATAGGTGCTTTATAACAGCACTTGCCCCAACAGTCTGTTAAGGCTATATGGGGGGGGGACCTTTGTCTTTGTAGGTTCACCTATGAGATCGCGCCCGTGTTCGTCCTCATGGAGAAAATCACGCTGAAGAAAATGCGCGAGATCATCGGCTGGCCCAACGGCGATGGCGATGGCGTCTTCTCTCCAGGTCGGCACCTCCCCCCCCCTCTCCCTCCATCTCATCTCCCTCGCGTGTTTGTATGTTGAATTTCTTTCACACCGTACATAGCCAGACATGCTATTTGGGAGGTGCAGGGGAAGGATGGCGAACTAAACACAAAAAGGAGTTTTGAAGAAGTAGATTTTAAAGTGCACAGCTCCCCGGTGGCTTACTTTTTTTAGTTTCGCAAGGCAGAGCGTTCCAGACGGCCCCAGAAGAGGTGATGAAGCCTCTCCTTAGAGTTCCTTTTCCTCGCACCAGCCTCGCTGCCTTCAGTGCTTCCGACGGCCCCATGGCGAGTGGCAAACAGGATCAACGTGGGGGGGGGGGCGAGGTCGTCGGGATGTTCGTCTCCAGCCTGTCCCCTCTCTTGTTCTTCCTCCTCCCCAGCCGGTCAGCCTGCACGGTCCACTCCACCTTCACCGGTCGTAGGTCAGGGGAGTAGTCCGGGTGTCTTCTTCGATTCCTGTTCACCGCTACCGGTTCTTGAGTACCTGGTGCGATTGTGTAAACATCGGCACTAGGGAGACAAAGGCGGCCGGGCGTGGTGTTGGCCACCCAACCCCCCTCGTGTGCTGTGCCGCTCTTCGTAGGTGCTCGCTAACGGCACTTGCCCCTACAGTCTGATAAGGCTATACGGGGGATCTTTGTCTTTGTGTACACAGGGGGAGCCATCAATAACCTGTACGCCGTCATGGCCGCTCGCTACAAGTTCTTCCCGGAGGTGAAGATGAAGGGGATGGCGGCTGTCCCTCAGCTCGTGCTCTTCACCTCCGAGTGTGTGAGTGCCAGCACCGGGCATCTTTTTAGAACGCATTCGACAGCATCGTCAACGGCAAAATAGATTTTTTTAAATTGGATCGCACGAGTGCAATGTTTTTGTTGTATACCCTCTTCCACCCGACCCATGGCCAAGGTCATAAAGTTTGTCACGTGAAGAATTATGAATCGTGATATTGGTCCAGAAAGCCTACGTGTTTTTCAAAGCTTTGCCATGGTAGACCATTGTATAAACAGAAATATTAATCCGTTGGCGGCAGCAGCTGCCTCAGCAGTAGCATCATCATCATAGACATTCACATTATCAACAGGAATATCATCAGCAGCAGCATCTTCACAATCGCCGGCATCATCATTACGCGACGATTATCCCTAATGAGCGGCCCAGCCATCCGTATGATTTGAGCCACGGGGTACAAATACTGTTACAGCAACTTCACTTGCCTGCCCTTGAGAATCGGAACTGGAGTCTGGTTGTGAGTTTTGACCTCCCAGGGGTCAAAATGAGGCTTTAGGTTTGAGGGTTAAACTACTGCACAAGGAGGGGTTCAAATAATATGGAGAAATGTGACCCCGTGGTTAGAATTCTAGGAGGTTAAATATACTTTCGGGCTCGGAGCCCCAAGACACCTTGACCTCCTGGTTGTTGTTGTTGTTGTTGTTGACAGAGCCACTACTCCACCAAGAAGGCAGCTGCCGCGCTGGGGATTGGAGCCGACAATGTCTTTCTCATCAAAGCCGACCAGAGGTGATTTTCTCTCATCCCCTCCCCCCGCGCCTGCCATGCTCTATCCACTGCTCGGCGAGGAACCAGGGTAGGGTTTGGCCGAAGGGTCTCTCCACGTGTCCTGCTATGCCCAGGAATAGTCCTATTGCTGAGGCCGCTCTCATGGACAATCGGATGAAGCTCTGTTTCGTGTCATAAATCTGTCGAGCAGAGATGGTGATTTATAAATTTTCTCCCCCCACTACCGACTCTCGCTTGCCTCCTGCTGTCACGAGCCAATCTCGCACTAGCCACTATCCGCTGGTCACTCTCACCAGGGTGCCACCTGTCCTTGGTTTTCCTAGGATCATCCAGTTGTTGTGGGGGGGGGGGGGAGCTGCCATCCTGGGGAGTCTGCCGGGCTTCCCAGGATATTGCAAGTCCCAGTTTTTTGTCAGTTTCGTCGTAAAGAATAATAATGCACTGCCGTAGACATCGCATTTACATGCAGTTCTCTCCTCTTCCGATAATTGTCAGATATTCTGACGCTTTCCATGACTGTCCCCTTTATTTCCTGTACCTCCTCCTGAAAGGTGGCAACCCTACTTAAAACCCACCCTCCTCTTCCCTGTGCGGAGTCTTGAGTCTCTGGTCCTACCTGCAGAGACTCGCATTTCAAGGCACCAAGTTGCGCTTTTATCCAAGAGGCTTTGGAAAGCGAGCAAGTGTTGTGCGTGCTGTGGCCCAGTGCATTTTTTATTTTCTTCAAATCGAGAGAGCTGGGTTGTGGTGTTTTCACACAGGGGGAAGATGGTTCCTGCTGATCTGGAAGCCAAGATCATCGACTCAAAGAAAAAGGTTCGTTTAATTTTTGTTTGCAAATTTTTAAATCGAGAAATTGTAGCAACATGTGTGTGGATCAGGGGCCTAGTGGTTTGGCGCGCTGCACCACGAACCCGGCGATCAGAGTTCGATTCCCGCTCACGGCCAAAGCTAGCGACGATTATTTTTCTTTGGGTCCTCTGGTTTATCCCCTCCACTTTTTAGAATCAAATTGGCTGCTATAAATGTCCACATGATAAGCCACGTGTTGAGCCGATCATTTGTGATAACCAGGTTGCTTTGGAAAAAGAGCTACATAGCTCAGTGGGCCTTACCTAGTAAAATAAAAATTAAAAAGTTTTTTTTCTTTTTCGTTTTTTGGACCTCGACATTGACCTCGAGCTCCTGAAAGTGCTGCTGCTGCGGTGACGCGTGTGAGCGTAGAGGAGGGGGATCCTGACCGGTGCGTGTGCGGTGCGCAGGGGATGGTGCCGTTCTTTGTGAGCGCCACGGCTGGCACCACGGTGTACGGCGCCTTCGATCCGCTCCACGACGTCGCCGACATCTGCCAGCGCCACAACATGTGGATGCACGTCGACGTGAGCGCCGCTCGCCCACCACGTCGCTCGCCCCCACCACGCCACTCGCCCACCACGTCGCTCGCCCACCAGGCCACTCGCCCACCACGTCGCTCGCCCACCGCGCCACTCGCCCACCGCGCCACTCGCCCACCACGCTCACCCACCACACCGCTCGCCCACCACGTGCCGCCACTCCTGCGTCCCTCTCGCCACAAATGCCGCACGACACCACATTCATCAGTCTTGCTGACCCGCCCCTACTAGACATCTGTGAAAGAGCTTCATAGCTCATCGCATTCCTCCAGGATACACGAAGATTCTGATTTTGACCGGTCGCCAATGCACCACGCTCACCACTAAACTACACTCGCCACTACACCTCACACTTAATGCTTTACTCGCCGCTATTCCACACTCGTCGTTATATTTGATACCCGCCAGTGGTTGGTAATATACCAAGCTCGCCACTATTACGACGCTACACTCACCACTAAACCACCCTGCTCACTACGTACTCTGCCACTCTATACTTAGCACGTTCATTATTACGCTTGATTACCTCGGTAAGCCTCGCTGAGGCCTCATGGCTCTCTTTCAACAGGGTCCTGCCAAGTTTTCACAGCATTGGCAGATAATTGCTCTGTATATAATTCCCGAGTAAATTGGCAAACAGACTTTGTAGACTTGCCACGACCATCCCACCATGCTCGCTAAACGGCACTTGGCCCCAGCAGTCTAAGGCTACACGGGGGGGGGGGATCTTTGTCTTTGTTTGTGCCAGGCGGCGTGGGGAGGTGGACTGCTGATGTCTCGCAAGCATCGCCACAAGCTCAATGGAGTCGAGAGGTCGGTGTTTGGCGTGTCACTGCCTTGCTCGCGATTAATTTAAGTTTTTTTACCAGGTATTGCCCACTGAGCGTATATCGCTATTTTTCAGAAGCCACTTGGCCAACAATGATAGCTCGACAAAAAAAGTGGCTTATGTGGAGGGAAACACCGGAGGAGCTAGAGAAAAATCCAGAGAACCTGCAAACTCCAATTTATACAGGCGTCGGGATCAAACACGCGATCTCCTGCATACGAGGCGAGGTAGTTAACGTCTCGCCACCATGGCGTGATTCCTTTCCTGCGGATGCCACGGTCAGCAGCAGCACCACTGGACTTGCACTCCAGGGGTCGCCGGTTCGATTCCATCTCCCGGCGCGGCAGTTGAAACTGATGAAACAGGTTTATTCAAATCCCTCGGGCCCCCTCTCTCCACCCAGCGGTAAATAAACCAGACTGGGGTGTTATTATCTCGGCTTGTAAGGCCCCAATTGAGCTCGGTCAGCTCTGTTACACAAGGAATACCAACCGGATTCAATCACAGTCTATCGAAAAATCGTGTGTGTTTTTGAGGTCTTCTTCTTTGTACGGCTGACCTCAAGATGCTGAGTAACAGCTACAATGTCACGTTCAGGTGGTCAAGCCAGACAACAACCACGTCAGGAGCAGCGGGCTGTATCGCCGTGATGACGTCTCCTTCGTATTTGTGGAATGGGGCATCGCGTTGTTGTACGTTCTGTTCCCGATGACCCCACAATCGCACACTACTGGAGAGTTTTTAATTCTCCATTTGTGCCGTGGTTTGTACGGATGTGGTTTACGGTGAAACCATGAGCTTCGTGCGAGACCAAAACCCCAGGGGTCTTTCTGCGTCGGCCCTTTCACGAAGTGTTTTGTGTCATTTTGAACTCCAGAGTTACCGAGCCCCGTGGGCCCAAACAGACGTCAAGTGGCCTGGCAACCAACGGCCACGTCGGATTTGTACGAAATAAGAGTGGACGTGGGCAGGTGCTCCAAATCGGGGGCAAGCACATTTATTGTGGTTAATAGTAATCTTGTAAAGAACAGCACCGTCACTCTGTAAACTGCACCAGCATGTGTGTCACACGCAGAAATTATTCCGAGTCGCCATTAACCACGTGGCTGGTGTATCCAAGTGCGGTTATTCAATAACCCTGCCAGCCGCCTACAGGCCCGCCTCAGTCATCACATGCTGCTGTACACACATGCATTGATGCACTGCACAGCACATCAGGACTTTCACAGAACCACACTTTACTCCCTTGCTGCTGCACAAGGATATAATTAAAAGAGTGATCCATTCCTAATGTGCCACACAAGGCTTTGTATGAACTCACAATTGTCGTGTGTTTTGACGTGTGGTTGGTTTGTTTACGTTGTGTGTGTGTGGTGTGTGCAGTGTGTGGGTGTCACTGTTTATTTACTCTGCGGGCGTGTGGCGTTTCTGCTGTGGGCGCGTTGTGTTGACGCGCTGTGCGGTGTCTGAGTTGTGGCCACTTTGTTTTGACGCTGTGGCAGGGCGAACTCTGTGACCTGGAACCCCCACAAGATGATGGGGGTGCTGCTGCAGTGCTCGGCTATTCTAGTCCGTGAAGAGGTGAGAGATGCACGCTTCGCCCCCCCCTCCTCCGTCACCATCAACACGATCAGCGACACGATCATCGGCAACAGCACAGTATCAATTGGAGCAAAACGCCTGAAAGGTGCGCAGAGAAGCTTGGAATCGCAGAAAGAGGAACGCGTGGATTAGAGACAATACCCCAGGTTCAAAACTGTTTTAAATAATGATGGAGTGGCAGCCGAGGGATGGAACGAGTGGTGTGAGATCGGTTGGTGAGCAGGAGCGAGGTGGATTGTCGCATCGCAGAAGCGCGAAAGGTGGCGACTGCTTGCGGAGGCCTTCATCCAGCAGTGGATTGACCATGATGATGTTGATGGGGGGGGGGGGGGGATAGTGTAGCGGTTAGCGCGCTGCGCTATGAACCTGACAACCCGAGTTCGATTCCCGCTCACGGCCAACACCAGTGACGATTATCTGAACCGGTCCTGGGCCTCCCCTAGGTCGACTCGGCCTCAAATTAGTACCTGGTGTGTAAACATCGTCACCAGGGAGACAAAGGCGGTCGGGCGTGGTGCTGGCCCACCCACCCCCTCGTGTACCGTTCCGGCCTTCATAGGTGCTCGCCAACAGCACTTGCCCCTAGTCTGTCAAGGCTGCACGGGGGATCTTTGTCTTTATATCTATGTCTCTGCCGGTTCTCTGGAATCTCATCTACTCGGCCGCCCCCCACCCCGCCCCCCACCCCGCCCCCTTCCCCTGGACGTGTCTTGGTTTTCCCCGCGTCTCCACTGACAGGGCTTGCTGCAGGGCTGCAACAAGATGTGCGCCGGGTACCTGTTTCAGCCCGACAAGCAGTACGACACGTCATACGACACGGGCGACAAAGTGATCCAGTGCGGCCGCCACGTCGACATCTTCAAGTTCTGGCTCATGTGGAAGGCCAAGGTTTGGGGACGCTCCCAACGCACTGCACGCGCACACACAGAGACCTCCCCTTATAGCCTTAACAAACTGTTAGCGAGCACCAAATGAAGGCCGGAATGGTGCGCGAGGGAGGTGAGTTGCCAGCACGGCGCCCGGCCGCCTTTGTCTCCCCAGTGGCGATGTTGACACACTCATTTGAGACCTGTGTCGACCTAGGGGAGGCCCGGGACCGGTTCACATTCGTTACTGATGCTGGTCTTGAGCGGGAATTGAACTCTGGTCGCTGGGTTTGTAGCGCAGGACGCTAACCGCTACACTGCCGCGTACAGGCACGCACATTGTGCGCACACGCACCCTACCAGGCATGTAAATCCTAACCCCAAATCAAGTCAAAGTGATTCCTTGCTCAAATAAGCATTGAGGTGGGACCCATCTCCTGTTTGTAGCCCTGAGCCAGTGGCAGAAACTCCACTTTCCTTTGGAGAAGTTAGCGATTGGGTGAAAATTCCCCTCCCTCCTTCCCACCAGAAGGTTTTGTGAAAATTAGGATTATCACCGGTGCTAAGCGCCATCCTTTACCCCGCATTACGAGCTACCTGAGCAATAGGTGGGGCTACCTGTGAAGTGGGCGGGGTTGACAGGGTTGGACGGGGCTATGTAAAAGTAGGTGGGGCTGGCATACGGGGAGGCACGACCAGCCCACGATGTGGCTTTTAGTTGAGCATCCCTGAAATGTGTAGTACCTTTTTTTTAGCCAATCCACAACGTGCATATTGTCGGCGTTGTTAATTGTTGTGTGTGTACGTGTGTGCGTGTGTGTGTACCCAGGGCACGGTTGGGTTCGAGGCTCAGATCAACAAATGCCTGGACCTGGCCCAGTACCTGTACAGGACCATCAAGAACCGAGAGGGATACGAACTCGTCTTCCAGGGAGAGGTAAGCATGGGGTGGCGTGGGGGGGAGAGTCCTGAGTAGGGGGGGGGGAATCGAGATTCAGGATTGCATCGAAGTTTTGCATGCACGGCCGCGATTTTTTTAAAGTTGTATGCATGGACGTGTCTGTGTGTGTTTAGCCAGGCCTTGATAGGTGCTACTTGTGAACGGCACTTGCCCCAGCAGTCCTGTCAAGGCTATACGCGGGGGATCTTTGTCTTTTTCTTATGTTTAGCCGGAGCACACGAACGTGTGTTTCTGGTACATACCTCTGAGCCTGCGAGGGATGCCTGACGGGGAGGAGAGGAGAGCCAAGCTCAGCAGGGTGAGTGTGGGACCCCAAGTTCACATCAGCAGCATCGCAACCAGTAACCGCCACGCAATACCCCCAGTGCCATCAGCATTGGCAGCATCACCACCAGCACACGCTAATATTACCACCGGCACTACTGGCACTACCACCGATGATGCCAGCATGATCCACATGAATTGTATGATGCATTGATAACGGCATCCCAATCGCAACAACCGGCACTACCATCTCCACCGGTACCACCAGCAACTAGCGTCACCACCACTACCCACGCTGTGATGGAGCTGTTTGCGTTGGCGTCGGTGCAGGTCGCGCCCAAGGTGAAGGCGCGCATGATGGAGGCGGGCACCACCATGGTGGGCTACCAGCCGCAGGGGGACAAGGTCAACTTCTTCCGCATGGTCATCTCCAACCCGGCCGCCATGCAGTCCGACATCGACTTCATGCTCTCCGAGATCGAGCGTCTGGGCCACGACCTGTGAGGGCAGGAGGCAGCCCTGCCCTGCTGCTGCCCCCCTCAACCTCCCACGCTGCCCCCCCCCCCCCACCGTGGTGCTGCCACCCACCAATAGGGCCCCTAGGTTTGCCAGCGCTGCTTCCATGGCTTGGCGAGAGGAGGTGTGTGTGCTGGATGTGGAGTTCCGGGTGCGGAAATATTTTCCGGGGTTCCTGACCCGAACAGAACCGGGTAGAGGTTTAGCTCTGGCTGCTCCCATGAATGCCAGCCGGGTGTAGTACTTCAGCGCTGCCCCTCCTACGATACATCTTCACCCCCCATCGCCATCCACTCTCGATGAAACCTCATCGTAGCACCTCTTTCCGTGTGCCACCCATCTTCGATAAATCTTGTATTGCCGCCTTTCTGAGTATTTCCCAAAAACTGTTCGACTGCCACCCAAAGTGCTTCCCTTCCCCGTTAGAAACATCTCCGTGGCACTCTATCTCCCCGTGGCCGCCCGTCCTGTGATTTAAATCTTTCGAGCATCCCCTCGCTTGGTGCTTCCCTTCCCAGAGCTGCCCCCCCCCCAACCACCAGCCCCCGTTCTCTGGGAAGCCGTATCGTGCCCCCCACACAGACACAGTGCTTCCCTTTCAGCGCCACCCCTTCTAAGAGCTGCCTTTTGCTAAGCTTTCTACAGCCACCACCTTTACTCCATACGCAGTCCAGCGGCGTCACACGGGCGACATGCCAAATCCATCTCGACTGGCTGCGACTATTCCATGCGCGGAGTACCGTAACTCAGATCGGAGCTGCAACGCGCTGTTCCACACAATGCATCGCAGGTGCCACACGCTCAATCACTCTGCTGCCACTTCTCCCCCACCCGCCTCTATCCCCATTTGATGCCCACTCCAATAATTTTCTGAGTAAATCGGCAATATAAATCTTCTTCTGCGCCATGGGATGTGAAAAGAGCGGCTCAAATTTTGAACAAACGATACGTCTTGTAATTTTCGTTTCAATTTGACAGATCGCTGAACGTGGCACGAGCGTCGGCACTTGTGTACGTATGAGAAATTACGCTGAGCGAAAGAAGGAAAAAAAATACTTCTCTAAATCACACGCACGAGGGAGGGATGTCCCGACCTTGTATAGCGGTGAGCACGCTGGACTTATTAGCCAGAGGTCACCGGTTAGATACGATCTCCCGGCGGGGGGCATTGGAAACGACAATGGAGCAACTTTTTTTTTAAACCTCCGTTGCCTCTGTACACCCCAGTGCTACGAGAATTGGTTCACTGATCAGCGGCTCGACTGCGCTGGAATCCAATTTTGGTGACTCTTCCCACTTTGTCCCGAGGACATCCGGTCAAATGACCGTGTTACAAGAGGCCGTTCCCTGGCAGCAGCGAAGTGAGCAAAAGAGTTGTAGTCCTGCGTATTTACCTTTTTTTTGTTTTTCCAGTCTTCATGTTGCGTTCACATGTTCTTGTCACCTCTCACGGCTACCCGTCTCTTTTCATTGTCGATCCAGCCAGGGGCAGGCTGCTGTTGTAAACGCACATTCCCTCCTGGTGGACCTTGCTCGCTGGACACCGACAGCCTTCTCTCATGTCCTGTAGCATGTACTACACGTGTACACTCTCTTCGGGGTGGCACAACAGATGCGTTGCTTGCCTCACGCTGCCGCTAGCCAATCTCACACTCGCCCCGATCCACTGGCCACTTTGACGTACGGTTTGCCGCCTGTCCTGATCGTCCACTTGCTGATGGAGGCAGCCATCAAAATCAACATCCTTGATTCCAATTTTGTTTTGAAATGCCCAGCGACGATCACAAATTGCTGTAGGTAATTGCAGGAAAATAGGTTCCATTATGTATACATATGCAATCGAACTTCGCTCTTGAACTCAACCCTATTACCCGTGGTTCTTATTACTCCCAGGACCTATAGAATTTACGAAAACTCCTATTATCCGCAGCCCCATTGTTCCTATTGGTCACGGTTACCGGCTGTTTTTCTTGTCCTGCATGGCACGGCTTTCTATTATCCACACATTTTTCGCGAGTTTCCATCGGCAAATTAAACCCGTTCGCAATAATCCCGTTTTTTGGGGTTGTTGCCTGCAACAGACGAGTGGAGTCAAATTTGGGGACTACATCCCCCGATAACAGCTCCTGCGTTCCCAGTAAACGTGCAACGTTGACCCAACGTTGGGGCCCAAACCTTGCACGTCTTGCTGGCTTGTTCATAAACTCGCATCGCAAAAGGAGGTTCTCCGTACCTCTTTCAGTCTCGCAGGTTTCCAGTGTGTAACCTTTTTGTACATTCGTTTGGTTGAAATGAGGGCCAAAGATTTCCGATGATTTTGAAATAGATGATGAGATCTTGCGATAAACGCTTTGAACAACAATCTACTCCGATGTTTTGTTTTTTAAAGACGGAAAGTAAATTAACAAAGAAGCACAGGGCAATACGCAGCAATGTTGTATGCTCACAGCATGTGCATTAAACTATATATCATAATTCAACTGAAATAGCATTCGGGTTCTAGTGAAGACAACTCGAGCGTGTCACGCAGATGTCTATGGAGAGGGGAGATAGCGCCTCTGTGCGGTGTCACGGGGCAATTGTAAGGAAGGGTTTGGCTGCTTGATGGCAGGTGGAGGGTCCCGTTCAGGGTTAGTGGGGAGCGGTGGTGTAGCGGTTAGCGCTACGCTCTACTGCGAAACTTGGCGGACCCGAGTTAGATTCCCGCTCACGGCACAACACCAGTGATGATTATCTGAACCGGTCTTGGGCCCTCCCCTAGGTCAACTCGGCCTCCAAATGAGTGCCTGGTGCGGTGTGTGAACATCGCCACTGGGGGAGACAAAGGCGGCCGGTGCGTGGTTGTTGGCCACTCGCCCTTAATAGGTGCTCGCTAACAGCACTTGCCCCAACAGTGTTACAGGCTATAGGGGGGACCTTTGGCTGCACCGCTGGTGTTGGATGGGGACAGCGATGCTGCGACAGAATTGGCAGCAGCTCGAGGTCGAGTGTGAATGTCACCCATCTAGCAACTATTCGATTTGGCTGACTAAAGGGGAACGGTCTCCTCCGTTACTTTACACAAACTTTCGTTTGTTATTTTGAAATAAAGTGTATTTTGTTGCAATAACAACCTCCCCCCCCCCACCACCCCCACAATGGTTCTATTTTCTTCGCAGGCTAATTAAGTAAGCCTCGGAGGGGCCCCATGATTTCTCACCTCGAGCTTGCCCGCTTTGAGACGGCTGTCATGTCCCGGGGCTTCTCGAGGTGATGTAAGAGGTAGCAAAGAACGGGGGCCTATCTCAAGTGTAGCAGGCTTTGGCTCTAAATGGGTCTCTGTGTGGTAGTAAACACTAAAAAGAAAAATCAGTATTTAGCAAAGTACGAAGCAACGACGTTTTAGCATCAAACGTTGCAACACAAACTGCGCAGTGAGAATTCGTGACCTTTGTCGACCTCCAACGTGCGTGACCCCCCCGCTGCCCCACGTGGTGTTCTTTGTGAGTCTGTGTGCCCCCCCCCCCCCATCATCATCATTCGTGTGCCCGTGTGGTTACAGGGTGTTTTCAAGACCGTCGTAGTTTTCACACCGTTTTTGGTCCCCTACCCTTCGCGTCCCCCCCCCATCCCCTCCCCTCCCACCAACCTCTCCTCCCACTCGGTCGCTCGGTGTCTCGTCCGGTGCTGTCAACTCTGCGACGCTGTCGCCTTTGACGATTTGATGCGCGAACATTTCGATTGTGTTTTGCGTGTCGGGTTTGCCAACGGCAAGACAAAAGCGGTGTTCGATTTTTTTGTGTCGAAGCGAACGAGCGACAAAACTTTTTCCCGCGGAGCGATTTTTGAGTTTGTGTCCAGGTGGCGTGTGGCTTTGTTTTGAAGGTTTCCCGTGTTAGCACTTCTTCGTAAATTGCCAGGTGATAAGACTTTTGGAAGGGTCTTTCTCGCGACTTTGTGAAGTTTTTTTTTCGTTCGTTTTTGGTGATTCTCCACTTGTCAGGGAGAGTTGGCAACGCCGGTCTTTTCGGGGCACCCCACACCCCCCCCAATGTCGCGTCCCCCTGTGTGACCTTGCGTGACCTTGCGTTGTGTGGCACCAAATAGCAATAGTGGTGGGTTGTAGCTATTAACTGTTTCTCGCTGTTAAGAACTGATTTTTCTCTCGAACAAATTGCACTCGAGTTTAAGAATATATATAGATTGTGTATATATATAAACCGTATATTGCTGTGATTTGCGATGTAACTGAATGAAATGACGAACAACCCTGTAGCTTTATGGATTGTTGGGGGGGGGGGTGGAGGAGGTTAATGTTATGTCAGCAGTGAAAACACAAACACCCCCCCCCCCTCATCTTTCCCCACCATCTACCCCGAAACGACAACCAACTTTGTCCACTCAACCCAACTTTACGAGCACCTCCAACTGAAATGTAACCAACGCAGAGTGGAGTCAAACGGGTTCAGCCGTGCATGGCAGTCCCCCCCCCCCACCACCCTCATTCACAAACGAGTTTATCCTGCCCGTACCGCCGTGGTTGTTGGGCACGTGTCGCTTCCGAAGAAGCTCTCCGGCACGTGGCACGACCCTCAAACGCGCGCAGGAGGGATGACCACCACCACCAACAACAGCTACAGTTGAGTCATCACGGTGGCAACACAAACACAAAAAACACACATCAACCGCCCATAGCAGAGCTGTGGGCCTACAATAACACGCGCGGACAAAATCTCGTTCGGCTTCCCTCGACTTGCCAACATTTCACGTTCCGCGTGAGGTTTGAAAACCTCTCCTCCTCCTCCTCCGACCTTGCATTGCGAATCGCCTCCATTCACGTGCATGGCTCCGAGTTGACACGCGATTCAATTGCACGTGCAAACCCGCGTGTCTTCGCAGCGAGTGTGTGACGGCCGCTCTCTCTCTCTCTACTTTCAGAGGTACAGACAAGGTTCACGCTCGTTGCGGTTGTTTTAAAACAAGCAGCGGTAACTTTCATAGACAACAAACCTAATCTACAACCAGGGATGGGAACCACCGGGTGTGTGTGTGTGTTGTCGTGCCGAAGAAGACTTGACGCTATTTTGTCAATAACGCTGTTTTGTTGGGAGGTCAAACAAAAATACCCCCCCCTTCTAGTACCCAATTAGTACGGCTCCGATGCTTGTACTGTCGTGATGGATAAATAACAACAAAAACGGCGAAACATTGCCGTTTCAATGCGGTAGGCCTCCAAGAACCTCTGGCCGTACGAAATGAAGTCTGGGATTTTGGCCCACGCATCATAGTTTCCAATACTGCCCTCTCTGTTAAAGCGCCGTTCAATCTCCGAAATCTACTCAACTAGATCGCTAATTCCATCACGCGTGAAGATTTACAAACGTTCACTACGCATATACTACCCCAGTGTTTATACCAAGTAATGCAAACATCCATTCCAGTCATAATTAAAGAGTTTTTTTTTGTTTTGGGTTAGATCGCATAAATATAAATGCGTCGTTTGTAATAGCCTACGTGTTTAACAAGAAATTCGCGACCAATATCCATTCTAGAGGTTTTTGGGGTTAATTGCTGAATTTATGAATAAATATAAATGCATCGTTCCACGACCACCACCCGGCACGGCCAATTAATCAGGTTTGTCGCGTAAACAAAAACGTGCTAATTAGTTACCACTTCAGCACACAACACACGCCGTTTACAATTCGAGTACCGTCACGTCTCGCTGGTGATGACAGCCATCTCATTTACCGATTCCTCGTCTCTCCACCCGGCAGTACAAATCGGTGGGTCCGAAGGTGGCGTGTGGAGGAGTTTAAAGCGGTGGGGTATTATATTCCAACACGTCCGGTCAACGTGGAAGAGTAGACCAAAAAAAACAATCCCCCACCCTGTTGAGTTTCCTCTCGCGTGGAGTGGCCACTTTTCCGTCAGTGGCGTAAGCTCGCAATTGCAGGGCTGCGCCTTTAACCGTAAATGTTATTATCACAGTTGACTTTGTACTCGTGAATAGCCACCACCGTGTTCCCCGCTACAGTTCTACTGAAGTGAACGAGCAGGTTGTGTTACACGGGGCCGGATTCAGGCACGGGGCTTTAGGGGACGCGGCCCAGGGGGCTCTCCGTCAGCTGGAGGGCCTCCAGAGAAGGAGTGAAAAGTTATTTCAGTTGTGAACGCTGAATTGTATTTTTTTTAGCCTTGTAGAAATACTATTTGTTTATCTTTAATTTTGTTTTCCTTTTGGAAATATTACTGGGGGCCTCGCAGTACCTGTAGCCGAGCGGGGGGCCTACAAATCTTAATCCGGCCCTGGTTGTATATTGGGACTGGACCTACAGTAAAGAAGGAATCTATTGCGGTCGCAGTATTTACAACAATGTATCTCGCCAGACGTTATGATAACAACGTGCAATGTTTGACCGTGACCCCCCCCTACTCCCAGCGCTGGGTGTGTAAAGTTGTGATGGTCTCCCCCGTGTGTGCCGTCTCCCTGCCCACCCACTCCACTAATCCTAACCCCCGCCAATAGGTGTGTCCTTAGGTGCTTACAATAGATGTGGGTGTGTTTACACGCTTGTGCTTTGTAGATCAATCGGTGTGTGTGTACACAGTCGCTTTAAAAATGTTCGGGTTAAACAAACACAAGTCCAGTGCTTAATTCTTGTGACGGCAGAAATGCCCTCTTTTAGAACGCTTTGAGAAACATTCCACGTTCCTATGGCAGGGGCAAGTATATTATTAATGAATGCGAAGACGACAGCTGGGTATTTCCCTGACAGAGTGGTGCTTATTTTACTGGCAATGGGAGGATGATAATGATGATGATCTTTGTTTTTGATGATGACTGATGATGACTGATAATGGTTGATGGTTACGGTGATGATAAGTTTACGCCGTTCTGGATTGGAACTCTCATTTCAAAGCTCGATTCGAATCAAATGGAGAGACCAAACACTGACACCCATACAGAGTCGCGGGGCAATGCTTTATCGATTGTCCATTTTAATATAGAGTGCGTTTCACGACGCGCGTGTCGAATCACGCCTCCCTAAGAATTATATTCGTGTAAGCTTGTTAAGTAATAATGGTTTAACATTTCCCCTGCTGCCGCTAGTGGCAGCATTCGCCCACAGTGTTGTACAAAAATACGTGATTGTAGTCGATCCGCGTTCTTGCATTTGTGAAGGACTTGGCTGCTTGAGATTTTTAGTCGGGGTTTTTCGCACATAGGAGAACCATTTGGTACCCAGAGAAAACCTTATCGTATGATAGGGGAAAAATCCGTCAAACCTACTTGCTGTACTTCTATATAATTGTCCACCGTATAGCGCTGCTGGATTGGAGCTGCCAAACAACTTGCGACCTGACGCTCTGGATTGCAGGCGTATGCCACCACAATGTATACATAACTAGTAATATAATAACGTACTGCAATAATACAACATGCCTCTGTCAATCCACTGCTGGATGAAGGCCTCCCCATACCCTAACACGGTTTTCATCCCATGTGCAATTTGTCAAATACCTTGAAATCGGGTCCATTTCCAAAAGGTTTAAACCGTCAGTCGGACGGTTCATGCCTTACTTCCGCAACAGTAATACAGAAGTACAATTTAAAGATATACAGCATCTAATTGCAGCTCAAACTTAGTCCCGTTTCAGTTCAATCGTTGTCAATGTCTATTTGGCCACGCATAATAACTACTAGACACTTTATATACGTTTATCGGGAATGAATAATAATCGTAATTATAAACCTTACCACGCCGTAATAGGTTGAACAGTGATCACTCTGTTCGGAGCACGTAGGTGCTGACAAGGTTTACGAGATTTCGATTTAAAGCTTTCGTGACTGCAGGGATTAATCTTCTTGGTTCTTTCGGTAAAGTCACGCAGAAGGGAAGTAATAAAATAATAAAAACAAAACATAACAAAATAATTCTCACGACGTTTCGGCCACAACGCAAGCAGCCGTCCTCACCTGAGAATTATTTTGTTATGTTTTGTTTTTATTATTTTATTACTTCCCTTCTGCGTGACTTTACCGAAAGAACCAGGAAAAAGGTTTACGAGTTGGAAGATTTTCAGAGGTGACGTCCGTCACGATGGTGGAATGACTGAGTGTGGAATGATGCGATGGGGAATGATTGGATTTAAGGTGCGCGGGTTACCCTTGTATTCCCCAGTGAAAGCACATACACAACGGGATTTTATGTATAAATATATTTATGTATACAGTACAGTATATATATATATACACAAGCTCGCAAGTAGGGAATTGAATTCCATGTTTTCGGGTTGTGCCGATATCTCAATGATTCTGCTTTTGTTTTTGTTTTAAAGCTGCATTTCTCTTACAGAGTTTAAATGTTCCCCTTCTCCAATGGGCATGTGATCGCTCTCATCCAGCTGTAGGAATTTTACTTGAATGACCTTGGAGGGATGATGGGCTGAATTGACATTCACCAGGGATTAGGACTCAACTTTAGCAGTAAGCGCCGGTGGTATAATAAAAAAAAACATTCGATGCTGTTACAATAGACGTCCTCCAGGAGTCTGGTGACCCAAAGACCTAAGAGCAGATGGTAGGATCGTGAAGGTTGGTGCCGTGTCGACTGAAACAGACCACAGCCGACGCCTGCGGGATTTTTTTTCCATCTGAGCCCCGGGAGGGACACGTGGGTAGAGCGATGACGACGTGGCGGCGGTGGTGGTGGTGACATCAACAGCGTTGGCCTTGGTGACATTGCGATCTTGTGGTCAAAAGGAAAGTAGAGATGTATTCGATGCGAGGGGTGATGTTAAGGCTCTAACGGGCTAATCTAAAGAGCGAACTGCTACGGTGGCGAGATGTTAACTACCTCGCCTGGTATGCAGGAGGTCGTGGATTCGATCCTGACGTCTGCTGTATATTTGTACTCTTTGGTTCTTTCGGTAAAGTCTCACGAAGGTAGAAAAAATAATAAATCGAAACGTCGTGATCTATTGTTTTTTTCTACCTACGTGACTTTACCGAAATAACCAAAGAGTGGATTCCTGCAGTCACGAAAGCTTCAAATCTAAGATTGTATATTTGTAGTTTGCATGTTTTCCCCGTGGTCGTGTGGATTTTTATCCGGGTCCTCCGGTTTTCCCCTCCCACGTTAAGAAACATGCGTTTAGAGTATTTGGTTGCTATACATTTCCACAAGCCACTTCGCTATCATGTGTGGCCAGGTCGCTTCTGAAAAAAACTATATAGCTCAGTGGGCCTCACCTGGTGAAATAAAAAAAAAAGTTTATAACGAGAGGGTCTCGATGAAAAATGAGTTGTATCTCTACGTGGTTTAATTAAAATTCAATAGACTTTGGTACCATCGTCGGCATCATCGATGTCCCAAGGCTTTAACTCATGCCCAGAAGGACTCTTTAACGAATTCCTCAAATCACTCGGAGCTCACGTCTCGTCATCACCGCTCGAAAAATCCGGTTTCCCAGCAGGTTTAGCTGCGGAAACTTGTGGGAGCCAGGTTTGGTGGATATGGATTTCTGCAGATTTCTCTGGATGTTTCTGCAGACGTCTGACTTTTTGAGACGTTATCTACCGTTTAATTAACCCGCATGTCGGTCAGAACTAAAAAATATAAATAGACAAGACGCTACAAAATTGAACTAAGGAATAGATTTAGTATTATTGACCCAAAATCGTGACCCAATTTATTGACTCGCTGAGATAATTAAAGTGGTTACATGCTTCCCTAAACAAGGAACAAACGAAAATAAACTGAATATAAGCGGTTTTTCAATAGGTTGAATAAAACACCAATATAAGTTATTCATCTTCAATGGTTTTCATATGGTTTATTAAAATACGTCAAAGTCGGAAATCTCAATGAAATTTACCCGGTTAAATTCCACAAAATCTCATGAAATCTCCATGTTGTATTTATAACTGTACAGCCCTTTTAGAAACCCTCCACTGCTGGATGAAGGCTTCTCCAAACTGCCGGTTCGGGTTGTTTGACCGCATACCTCGCCACGTCGGCCAGTGCGGGTTTGTGAAGGTGCCGCTACCACGACCGGTTCGGATATCGCTCCCCATTCTTGTTCGCCATGGCCGAGAATCGAGCTCTGCTCGCCAGGTTCATTGCGCATCACGTAACCACAAAGCTACCGTTCGACCTTCGCAACTGGTTAAGTAAACTTTAAAAAATTAACCCGTAAAAACAAAGTTTTTCACTATAAATCCTATATATGCGTGGCGGCTAGAGTCCTCTCGTCCTCTGGCTTGAGATGGCTGCCACCTATGGGTCAGATGATTGCCTGCCACCATTAAGCAATTGGTAATTACATATAAAAAAAAATCCAAAAAAGTGTACAATTTTGGAAAAAAAATTCACGAAAATAAATTGTCACGCACAACGAGTCTGTGTGCAAAATGTCAGTTCGATTGGATCACGGGAAGTGGGTTAAAAAACAACTGAAAGATTTGCACGGTCGTAAGCGCGCAAGCAAGCAAGTGAACTTAATATAAAGGATTTAAAAAGGTCCATGAATCTCAATAGCCCTAAACAATGTTGAATAAAGTTCGATGCTTTTACCAACAGCGACAATTGCTGAATTATTCGTTCAACGTTACTCCCGGTAGGGTGGAAATCTTAACAAATATGCCAAAAAAACTGAAAACATGGAGTTCTTGAGATGTGTATAGTGATACGGAATCCGAGAGGACTGGCGATTCACTCGTGTGTGTGTGTGTATATATATGTGAGATTAGGCGTTTTTGATCCTGTCGGTTGTAATTATTTTTGTATCTGTATTATGTACTATCTGTTCCTGCGTGGCATTCGTGAGAGTCGCATTATATTTAAGAAGTCTATGTCGAGCTTACAATAAACCCAATAGTTTTGCATTATGCGAGTGTTTGTGTGAGTGTGTGTGCGTGCGCGTGGAATGACTGGTGCTACGAATCCGCTCACCCGAGTTCGAATCCCGACCATGGCTACTGTTGCACACTCGTGGGCAGGTGCTCCAAATCGAGGCCAAGCACATTTATTTATTGTAGTTAATATTAATCTTGTGAAGAACCGCACCGTCATTCTGTAAAATGCAACAGCGCGTGTGTTACACGCAGCAATTCTTCCGAGACGCCATTAACCATGTGGCTGGTCTACACGTGCGGTTATTCATTAACCCTACCAACCACCTACAGGCCCGACTCAGACATTACATGCTGCTGTACACACATGCATTGATCCACTGCACAGCACATCAGGACCTTCACAGAACCACACTTTACTCCCTTGCTGCACAAGGATATAATTAAAAGGGTGATCCTTTCCTAATGTGCCACACTACCATCGGTGCCGATCGTCCGAACCGGGGCATCACCACCATCCCCCGTGCCCACGCGGGGCAAGGATCCATCTCGCTCCTTCACACGAGCTCATCTCATCCTCGCTCCATCTCCTCTCGGGTGTGTTCACTCCTTTGCCTGTCGTCACTCCGTTGTTAGTCTCGACCACTGGTTCATCGTCATTACAATCTGGTAGCATCACCTGCGCATGCCCACTTCATAGCGATAACAATCGTCATTCGCCACGAACGGACCCATGCCAAGTGCACTTTGAGGCCACCTGAAGTGTCGAACGACCGCTGGCAGGTCACGGGACAGACCCAAGTGCCGTGAGTTGAGGTGACTGGCAGATGCACCGTAACAATGATGTCTCAAACACAGTGGCGTAGCTAGGATATTTTGCGCCCGGGGACGAACTATAAAATTGGCGCGCCCCCGTTTAATCACATACCAAAATGTAATTACATGACATGTAGGCTGTGTGTGGCGGGATATATAAACTTTTAGGTTGAGGTGTAGATTTGTGCAGTAGTTTCAAGCTGCCGCGCCCGCCGCAATAAATAAAAATGTAACGTAAGCCTCATTTTGGCGCCCCTTTACCTTGGCGCCCGGGGACATATGTACCCCCCTGCCCCCCCCCCCCCCGAGTTACGCCTCTGCTCAAACATGCACATCTTCTCAAAACCACGTTCTCCTCTTCAGCAATTATAACTCGCTAACTGCTTTTGTTTTCCCTTCAGCAATTATAACTCGCTAACTGCGAAATCTTGACGGGGCCCTGCCGGAAGAGTCAAGACTCGGTGAGGCTTTCTGGGTAAACGAGCACACTAAATAACAAAACTTACACCGCTGTTATTTTGTTGTTGAAGACTGATTTTTAAATGAAAAACCCAAACCCACCACCACCACCCGACACTGTCAATTAATACGTTCAGATGGTAATTGCTTGGAAGGTTTGAAAGAGAGAGAATGCGGGGGGTATTTAAATGAGGGGAATCTTATTCTTTGGGTCTTTCGGTAAAGTCACGTAGAACAAAAAAAAGAACTACGACGTTTCGATCGCAAAACAAGCAATCGTCATCAGGAGAAAGAGCGAGGGGGGGGGGGAATCTGTCGAGGCGGGAGGTGGAATCTATTGAGGTGGTTTAGAAGGTAGAGCAGAGGTCTTGGCGAGATGGAAGTGATGCGCGGAGCTTGGAGAGGGGTGGGGGTATAAAACTGAAGGCCAGGGATTTGTGTTGGCTCGTGGTCGGCACTGGACGTTGTTGTTGAGGATAATAAACTTTATCTTAGAAGTACCGAGTTTGGAGTCCTTAATCACACTTGCACTACGCGATTGCGATGGGTTAACGACTGTGCGGTTAGCGTCGGCCACAATCTCCACGATTCCCAACTCGCCGTATTTATTCCGCTGCTGTGATCACAACAAAAACCTGCTCGTGTGCAGGTGCTGGAGAGGGATTGTTACACACATCGAAGGACCGCGGCGGTATGACGGATGGCTCGGGACCTTCGTCCAGCAGTGGATTGAGCGTGGCAGACGATGAGCTAAAAACACAGGCAGCGTTTTGAAATCGAAGCATCAAAATGCAACGTTAAAAGTTTAACATCAAATAAATAACTGTAATCAAATCTATCTCATTCGAGATAGATTCAGTGCTGAGTAAACTTGGAGTAGCTTATAGAACATTCTAGAAATTTACAGTAATTTATTTAAATAGTAGTATAAATACAGGGGCCTTAAGCCCATCAGTTCAGTTTAGTTCCAGCTGCCTAAGTGGATACATATCTGCATTTTCTGAGATGGCATAAAGAGGCTGCAAGCATCCGGCAGACGCATTTTGCTATGTCTTCGGCCAATTTACCAAGACAAGAGCGATAGAGTACTCTGTGGAAGCATCTGCTAAGGTGTGTGAGGCCTACAAGGCATATTTCGGCATGCCGGTCAGGGAAAAAGATAAACCCTGGGCACCTCATTTCACCTGCGAGCAATGCAAAAAAACTCTGGAATGTAAGATGGACAATTGTTGCTTGGAATTTTATGTTATAAAATTAGTTTTAAAAAATTAAATTGTAAAAGTTTTTAATTTTAAAATGTGTTACAATTTTAAATGTTATTGAAAAAATATATCATATATGAAAAATGTTGCGAGAATCTCTTACACATTATTCATGGGTGAAATAAATGCATTTGTGTAGGATGGTGCAGAGGGGAAAAGAGAGCCATGAAGGTCGCTATCCCAATAATTTGGCCGGGAACCCACTGACCACTCAAGCAACTGCTACTTGTGCATGGTGGACCCTTCCAAACGTCGGACTGGCAAGAATGCACCTGCTATGACCTTCCTTCATCCATCGCCCCGGTGCCACACTGCCATGAGCTCCCAGTACCCACTCCTCCGGAGAGAGAGCAGCCGTCTTTAGAAGAGAGCAGCAAGTCAGAGAGCGAGGAAGACGTAGATCCAGGTGACAATTTCCGAGGTGGAGCTGAGACAAACAGAAGGACAACGGACTCTGTGCCGAGGCCTTGCTTGTCTGTTCCACGCTTAACTTCTAATTTAGCAATCTTTGGAAGAACGTTAATCAGCCAGGCTATGCGTTAACTGTGTGTTAACCGACCCTCTGTGTTGCATTGCATTATACTTATTAATCTTACTAAATTTGCTTTCTCAAACTTTCGATTTTCTTGCTCTAAACCACTGCCTCTCCTCCTGCCACTGTGGTCCATACTGCTCCCTCCTTGTCTCCTCGTTTGTCTGCTGCTCCACTAATTTTTCCTCCGCAGTCCTCTCTCTTCCCCGGCCCCTTCCCCCCCCCTCTCTCGTCCGTCTGTTTGTCGTGGTGTGTGTCTTTGTGTTCGTTTCTCTCTGCATAGTGGAGCGGTTAGCGCGCGGCGCTATGAACCCGGTGACCCGAGTTCGATTCCCGCTCACGGCCAACACCAGTGACGATTATTTGAACCGGTCCTGGGCCTCTTCTAGGTCGACTCAGCCTCAAATGAGTACTTGGTGTAGTCTTAATTATGGAGCTTTCGTGACTGCAGGAATTATTCTTTGGTTCTTTCGGTTAAGTCACGTATAAAGATAAAATAATAAATTAAAATAATAGCAAATTACGACGTTTCGTAATTTGCTATTATCGTCACTGGGGAGACAAAGGCGGTCGGGCGTGGTGCTGGCCACCCACCCCCTCGTGTACCGTTGCGGCCTTCATAGGTGCTCGCTAACAGCACTTGCCCCTACAGTCTGTTAAGGTTATATGGAGGATCTTTGTCTCTCTCTGCATGTTGTCTGCTTATGTTGTTTCCGTGTCTGTGTTTTATCATTCATTCTTACCTGATGATGGTTGTTTGTGTTGCAACCGAAATGTCGTATTCTACTATTATTTGATTTTATTTTCTACGTGACTTTACCGAAAGAACCAAAGAGTAATTCCTGCAGTCACGAAAGCTTCGAATCTAGTTTGAAAAGACACAAATTCGTCCGTTTTCTCATTGGAAATAGGTACATTTCAAAATATCACTGTCCTGGTCACAAAAGCAAAGTTTGTGGGGAATAATTACGAAATAACACTTACTACCCAGGAACAAAAATTGTGTTACGTCTTGTTATGCATGTTCTTCCTGGCATCATCACGCACGGACGCGATTAATATAATTGACCACGAGGTGGCACAATGACTCCACTACAGAAAACAATTGCGCCAATTGCTGAAATGATGCACCTTCAAAAGGCCCCGGTGCATGGCTGATCGGATGTGTACAAAAATGTTTTTTTTTACATTTTACTGGCTTGTCTGCGTATTTAAGTTTCGCCTTACATTCTAGGTAAGGTAATCGCGATCATGATATTTTGGTGATTTCGAAAATGTTTTTTGGTTTGGCCATGTTTGTTTGTTGTAGTACGGAGTTAGACTGATGGTCTTAATTTAAGCTGTCTTGTGGTTGTTGTTGTTGTTTGACTTGCATTCCACTGGAATTTTTGCACAGCGTTGATATACGGTGCTTTTTTTTCTGGAATTTTTAATGTTTTTTTCCAGGATTTTCAGTTTGCACATTGTCACATTAAGATGTTTTCTTGTTCATGTTTTTGTTTTTTGTTTGTTGCGGTTGCACCCGATTCAAGATCCGAATTGCTCACAGGGCTATACTTAATAAATTAACTTGAAGTTCGCATGACTGTCCTGTATTTAAATCAGTTGAGCATCCTTCAGTCGCCATCATTTGTGCATGATGTTGCCCCCTTGCGGGTGAAAAAAGTTGGTGCTTTCAAGGGCGCGTGGAGCGGTAGTGTAGCGGTTAGCGCTACGCTGCGCTACGAATCTGGCGACGCGGGTTCGTGACGATAATTATCTGAACCGGTCCGGGGCCTCCCCTAGATCGACTCAGCCTCAAATCACTACCTCGTGCGGTATGTAAACATCGCCACTGGGGAGACAAAGGCGGTCGGGCTTGGTGCTGTACCGTTGCGGCCTTCATAGGTGCTCGTTAACGGCACTTTCCCCAACAGTCTGTTACGACTATACGGGGGATATTTGTCTTTACCTGTAAGGGTAGTACA